TCAAATGTTATTAACTTTACTACCCCCTAAATTTCCGCCATGTGTAAGCTTAAGATTTCGCTGATAAATCCCTATAAATAAAGCTGAGTATTCAAATCGTTAGCGTCAACCTGTCCCAGCTATTGATGAGCTCATAAATTGCGTGGCGAAAATATAAATATAGGGGACCCGAATTTAATCGTATTTCTTTGTATTGCCTGGCGTCGAAAGGGATTTGGAATCTTAAGTTGGCGATGTGATAGGAAATTCTTATTTTGATAGCTTATCTAAAGCAAACACGGAGCCCCACATATTGGACTAGGCCACCAGCTCTCCATTCTGGCTATTGATACATACCCAATGGAATCCACCTCCATTTCCAATTCAATATAGTTCTATTCTTTGGCTACTAACTGTTCTCGTGTTTGGTTCTTTTTTTTGCTGATAAAGCAATCTTGTGGTTAATATATATACACAAATACATACATCTATAGTGGGTATCAAAGCAGTTATGGCACACAGTGGAGCATGTTTAGTAATCGCTTTTTGGGGTCAGTAATTTGGTAATTGAAAATCACACTAAGTATATACACCGCGCAAAATGGGTCACCATAATAATAATAATAGTAATACTTCTTTGTGGCGGCAAAATGGTAAAAGAACAACAAACAAAAAAGCGCTAGAACTGTTTATTGGAATGCCAGAGAATGACAAAGTGAAAGAGATATGATAAAGCGAAGCAGAGCAGTGAAGACATAACAATCAAAGAACTAGACAAGACTAAAAAACTTTGCTTAGAAATTGCTTCTTAACAAGTTTCAGGCGGGAGCAGAACCGTCAACGAATTTAGTTGGTTTTGCTAAACATTTGCAGAAATTGTAAGGATTTTTTCAGAGAAGTGGAACTATTTTATGATTATGATCTACATATTTTTGTTCCCCATTTTCATGTCTTTAAAAGAATTTCTTTTGGCAAAAAATTGATTAACTTTCAATGGCTTTGATGCTGTCCAAGACTTAACACATAATTTAAGAAACTTTCTCTTGGAAATGATTGAATAATCTGAGGCCAATTTTCGGTTCATATTTCTTCTGATAGTGTTTGTAGATTTTTTATTAATTTTTGTGGGTTTTTAAATAACAGAAAGCCTTTTACTAGTTTTTAAGAAATAGTGTGATTTGTTATAATAACAACATTCCTCTCCCATTGTGCTTTAAAGTTTGTATTTATTCTTTTAATCATCAATATGTAATCAATATTTACATACACCTTTTCATTTTAAATGTTATATAATAAGCGAAACCCTTACCCTGCTTCAATGATTTGGAAAAATCATTAATTATTAATTGTCATTTTTCGGAGACTTGAGGAAATGCTTTGAGCTGGCGCCTTTTTCCCCCTTTTTTTCTGAATAATCAATCTCATTGACAACTTGAACGGTTTCCGCCTCCGTGGTGTTGATAGCCCAATGATAACTTCATCACCTTCAACATAATTCATTTCACTTTTCCGTTTTCACAGCCTTTTGCCTTTGCCATGTAAATGATATTTTCGGCGTGTAAGCCGTGATAAATGATACGACGGCTTTCGGGAGAGGGGGAGAGTTGAGATGTATCTTCAAGCAGCCAGAGAGATGTTACAAAAGTTATCTTTGAGTGGTTGGGCGTGTTGTGCATGTCTGGGGGGGGGCTTGGGAAAGTTGTGTGTGTTTTTACCCAAAAGAGCCCCTCTTTACCTCCCATGGGATTATGCTGATGAGGAACCGATGCGATGCGCCTCTTACCCGACGATCGTCTCGGGGTCAGCCCGAAAAGGTTAACGAAAAAGTTTGGCCGGCAATCAAGAGTTGTGTTATTTTCTGTTTGCCAAACTTTCCATGGGTTGGTTAGCCGAGATGTGGATCTGAATTGGCATTTAATAAACTGTCATTATTACTTGGGCAGTCGTCTTGAAAAGGGATAAAGTATAGAGGGAGGAGCACACACCAAAGACTTTTTGACAGTGAAAACGAAAACATTTGCTTCTGTATGCAATTTGTCATTGATAGGCGACACTGAAATCCGATTCCCCAACCCTCCTCAGCCAACCAATATTGTTTATTTATTCGTCTGAGAGTCGGGGGCTAAACTTCTGGGGAAACAGCTGAGTTGGCCATTAAAGAAAGGAACGGAAGCCGCCTGGCTTGAAGTTCTCAATCTTAGACCCGAAAATCAATTTCTGTATCCTCAGTTTTAACACTTCAGCGAACATTGGATCGAAGGCAAAACCAGAAGGAATCTAAAACTAATTTAAATAAAAACCAATCTGGCATAATTCGCTGCCACGACAAACTTTCAACCGTAGAACGATTCTCGTTTTTATGGTGACCTTCCCTTGCTAGGCTTTCGCTTTCGCTAAACTTGGAGGGGATTAGAGGAGGAGGAGGAGGAGTGGGTGTAACCATGTAGCCATGTGGCTCTCGAGGTTCTGGAGACTGGAGGATGGAGCCTGCCCCTGCATGCTGATGACTATCCAAAACAGCGAATCCTTAAGCCCCAACACCCATTCAACAGAGAGCGGGAGACAAAAGCACAGCACAGCACAACACACATAAAAATGTGTAGGCAAAGAGATAAGCAAACATTTTCTTTTCGCCTTTCCTTTATTTTCCACTGACACACACAACAGCACACAATGAAAAGCGAAAGTGGAAAAGTCTGCAAGTGTCTGGGTGGCCGAGGCCTCGGCCTTTTTTTCGGGTTTAGGCCTCGGAATTATGTCCATGGCACAATAGAATCACTTGTATATAGGTCGAAGTCGCCAGTCGCTAGTTATGGGGCCAAAAAAGAACCATGGCTGGACCATAAAAAATTACAATAAACAGCAATAGCCATAGAGCAGCATCACCAGACCAGACCGCAAAGTACAAATAAAAATGGCAGAGAGAACGCGAGGAATTTATATTGCCCGCAAATAAATGGATAGTATGTGTATACAGTGCGTATCAAAGGCTGGAAGGTTCAGGAATTTTTGTAATAATAATTGCAATTAATCTTGAGTGACTGGATAATGTTAACAAATGTAATTGAGGGGAAAACCTGGGGAAATTTAGTTTGGAAAATGTACAAATTTTTAGCAAACCAAATTTAGGTGGTTTCCTTAATAATAAAATATTGATCTAAAGAATGGGTTATAACTTTCTGTACAATAAGACTTAAGATTTAACAGACAGATTTAACAGTTTCTCTTAACTATATTATTTCCCTGACATCTCTAAGCTCTAATTTCTTTCACTAAAAATGTATCTGTACTAATGAACCGCACTGTTCTTTAGTACCTTCTCCTGGTTGATCTAACAGCTACACTCTGTTCAACATCTAACTTACTTTCTGTCTGTCTGTCTTTCGGTGACTCCTCTCCTTCTTTCCGTCTGAAAATTAATTTGCGGCATTCTATGGTTACGCATTTCCATTTACTTGAATGGAAATTAATTAGCCACGCCGGGCTGTCGAATGCTGGATGCTGGCGGTTGGCCAGCTAATAACCACAGACGTTTGCTGACTTGGCCAAGAAATTAGATTCTCCTCGGTGCAAATGAATCTTAATATTTGTTAAAGGTTGCAATTTGTATTTGAGGAGAAGGAATTGGATGAAGAAAAGGAAATTGATGCCTTTCGAGTTGGTATTAATGGAGCTTGAGTTTCGTTAAATTATACCCAAGTGTGTGTATTAATTTATAGCTTATTTATTAATGCTTTTAAGCTATAATGTTGATTAAGCTATTTGGAGTATAAGTAATCAGGGAAAAGGGGGTTTTTGTATATATTTGTATAATATTTAATATGCTTTTATTTGCAGTAAATAAGTAACTTATCTTATGTTTATTGTTCCCTGCTCGTATTTATATCTTTTAACTTAATTTGTATCTTCACACTCTTGATATCTTTATCGAGAGCTCTCCTTCATTATGGCTTTCAGTGCATCGACCCAACCCCTTTTGGTATTTGCATACATTTCTTATCGGACTGCGACCAAAGCTCCATATAGAATTGATAAACTGGTCGTTACTCCGTTGAACTCTATAAAACCTTTCGCCAATTTGCAGAAACCACACACACACACTCACGCCCTCATATAGTCAAGACCGAAAAATGTGGCTGGCATTTGGATCGCCTCGTTTTATGGGCTGATAAAAGGACTTGGCAGCAATCAAAAACCGCAAACATGTTAACCGTTAATGCCCCCAGACACCTATAAGGGTGCCAGCCTTAGTCCTGAGTCCTTTTCCCGGGGTCCCGAGACCCGGAGCCCTGTCCTTTGGCCATAAATGCGCCAAAAATATAAATTATATTTAAACAATATAAAGAAGGAAGCAACACCAGAAAGGCACCATCCGGTTACAGGCCGAGTTTTCCACCCCCTCACCCACTCTCTGAGATCTCAATAATTCAAAACAATTTCGTTTTATTGCCGAAAACTTTTTTCTGAGGGGCTTTTCATTGTTGGGCCTCTCGCATGTGGCGGCTGTGGTGGGCGAGGGGCGTAAGTGGTAAGTGGGTGTCGGCTGGCTAAGAGGGGTGGCGGGATTTGTATCCTCCGAGCACAGTTTAACCTCAACAAAAGCATATTGACCCTCGGCACATGGTCAACCCTTTTTAACTGTTGCGAGGGTCGCGTGAAAAGCCAACACATAAAATGAGAGTAGCGGAATTGAAGGTGTGGACTGAGAGAAAAATTTAACTTGTTTTTAGTTCTCAACATAAGAGGTATTGAGAAAAAAATAATAAATAAAACTTTTTGGGGGCTTTTTATAGATTTAAATAAATAGTTTTAGATCAAATAATTTAAATTTTAGGACCGAAACAACATCAAATGTTTTTAATAAATATAAATAAAAAACATATTAATATAGTTGCCAGTGCAATTTTTCTAATTTTCCCTTATATTCTTACACATTAATTATTTGCAAAATTTAAATATCCGCCCCACATTTTCGCCAAGTGCGAATCAAAATGGATGTGGGAGAATCCCTGCTAACTTACCGTTATTCGAGCCGCTGCGGGTCTGATGACGATGAAGATGAACGGGTTCGTAATCCTTTTAGCGCCGGTTTAATGAGAAATTCCTTCACAACAACTGAACACACACCGTTGCACACACACACACACGCACGCACACGGCCACTTCACCAGGCGGAAGGGGACTCTCTCTTCCCAAAACACAATTCTCCAATTTAATTATCCCAAAAAAATGGCAGAGAGCGAGAGAGTGTGTATGTGCGAAAAATATCTTTTGGCGACCGATCAGAACTGTACAGAAATCACCACGATGGTCCGGCTTAATTACCGCTAATTGCACTGGCTATTATTGCTGTTATTGTGTGTTTGCAACTTCGTATTTTAATTCAATCAAAAGTCGTACAAATTCAATTGACACACCGACACTTTGCCATTTAATTAATGGTCGCCGTTACTGAGCGATAAAGCGTGATTGAGACAAGAGCACAAAGACGTAAAAATTTGCTATTTAAACTGGATTCTTAAATCTCGGAGCAGCGGCCAAACGAGACGTCCGCACAGCGACAAGTTGGAAACGCGAATGCGAGGCTCAAAGAGAAGCGGCAAAAACAAGCATGGCTGGAAATCAAGTTGCACAGTGGGCTCGTTTGAGTTTTTTATACCAAGATTAATTCTGTTCCTTACTCTTGGAATGAAAGTAACAATTTTTAAATAAAATAGAACAATTATATTTAAATGATGTAATAAATTATTGTAACCTTTTTTAAACTTTTAGGACATATAATTATTAATATGTATAGTTACAAAAACAGGCCAATAGCCTAATATTTTTAGTTAACCAATTATTTAACATCCACATATCGTGTGTAAAACTATTTTATCTCACTTTGTGCAAATATGCTAATGGGTTTGTAACAGAAAAAACTCAAATGGGTCCACTGTGCGCTCTCTTTCTCTCCTTGCCATTTGTTATTGCTTGAGAGCGAACAGTGGAAACTCGAAATATAAAATGAACCGAACTGAAATGAGAAGAGAAACATATATGTTGGTCTCTGTTTACGTTCCCTCACTGTTCGCTTGCTCGCTCAGAGCGCTCTGTTGTTACTCACAATCAGTGTTGCCAGGTGATGAGCGCCCATATAAGCTAGATTTAAAAAAAAATAAGCTAGAATAAGCTAAACAATTTTTAAAAAATGCGAAAAACAAGCTACACCCAAATATGAGAAAACACGAAACATATAATATATATTATTATATTATATGAATATGTTATTATTAAAGAAAGTCTTAAAAATATGTTCTTAAAGTAAGCACTTAAAACAAATTAGTTAATATTTCATCAATTCCTTCATGTTGTTCGTCGCCGAGTGTTCGGCAATGAACAAACAAAGCGCTGCTTCCTGATCCTGAGTCTTGCAACACTTAGCCGGAAAATTTATTTTTGCGATTCAGCAACTGATCTCATTGATAAAATGTGCTTTTTCGATGCCGCATGCTGCCTGATTTAAAAAATTTTGGCTGATATTGTCGACTTACAGTAGCAACAATATGCTTTGGTTCCTTCTCCTGGCACTTAAATTCGTTGTTTTGGAGCCAAGCATCCCGAAAAATCTGTTTATATATAACTTTCGGCATTTTGAGGACACGCTTTACCTATTTTCACAACACAACAAAATTATTGGTGGTAACACTTCAGCCAACAAATCGATCTCCGATGACACTTTCGATTAGAAATAAGTTCACGATCACATAAAATGCACATAACCATCGGAAAAAAAGAACAAACTCCAATATTTTCATGCTATAAAGCATATTTTTCGTAAAAAACATTCCGTGGATGTCAAAAATACATAAAAAGCTAAAATATGCTAGATGAATTTTAAAATAAGCTATATTTCAAGCTATAAGCTAGATGGAAATTTTTCAAGCTTTTCTAGTTTCAAATATGCTAGAACTAGCTTATAATAAGCTAACCTGGCAACACTGCTCACAATGGCAGACGAGAGAAAATGCGTAAAGAGAGTGGATGTCGTGTGAATGGAAGGCATGGGTGGCGTTAAAGGGGAACAAGTGTTGTTTGTGGCGCATGAAGACTTGAGGAAATACAAGAAATTATAACTGAAGATGAAAAAGAACTACAAAAGCAAGGTAAAAAAATTCTTTCATTAAAAAATCTTATATTTTAAGATACAGATCCAGATCTAGATATAAGATACAGATATTTATATATTAAGACAATATTTTATTAGTTTAACCCCTTAATCTTAATCTGCTTAATCTTGTTATTTTAAAATTATCTCATACCAGTATGAAAATATTTATCTTGCGTTCCTTGTAATCTTTTCCAAAACAAAGTATACCCTATTGTTTTTAATCCCATTATCATTTAAGGAAAATTTATATCACAATGTGTATATACTTATCTCAAGGAAATACCCACATATGTCCTGATCCTCCCATCTTTCAGCCTCTCAAAAAATTTATACCTCAATTTTAAGCCAGCGGCGCCTCATGTTAATGAAAACTCAATTTGGTTAAGCCTTTCGCGAACCTTTTTTTGAGATACCTACAAAATTTTACACTCTCATTAATGAATTCGCCGCCATAAACCTTAAACAAAAGCTACAAATTATTTAAATGGACTCGGGCCAAAAGGCGGCCAGTGATGGAAAATCGGTTCAGAATTGAATGTAATTAAAACCCTTGGCGTGAAACAAAGGACAGCCTCTACAGCTGTAAATGTTTTCGCAGGCCAAAAAGGATATGACAATAGCAACCGGCCAAAAAACAACAAATGGTACCCAATGCACTGGGAAACATTTGTTGTAAGTTTAAATATAAAGGAATAATAGGAAGAATCTTATCTTATCTTTACATAAGAAATAAATATTAATAAATTGAGTTAAATCAATTTAGAGTGGGGAAAAGTGATTCTTACTACCTTTATTTACAAAACTACCTAAAGTACGATTTTTTTAAGCACGAATAGAATTTCTCCCTGTGTGAAGGACTTTACAGCGTTGTCAGGACAACCACATTGCCATCGACACCGACAATGGCCAAAGCAATTGACAACTTTTACAGCAGGCAGGTAAGCAAAGGAAAAGCAGCCAAAACAAAACGCAAAACGCTGGGAAAAACCCAATATTTTGGCATAAAGAAATATACGCGACGGAGAAAGGAAACAAGTAAAACGCCTCGGCACCTGCAAAAGGAGCGGAAAATTGCAAAGACAAGTGCTGTGCGTATTTTCGCGGAAACCCAGGAAGTGGACTGGAAAAGGGAAAAAGGACCTAAAAGGAACTGAATAGCTCGAGAGTTCACTCACAGCTGGAGAGCTATTTTGAATCGAAATTCTGGGCAGCTGGCCATGAACTTCTACGACGAGGAGATCACAATCAACGGACCCGACTCCAAGCACCTCAGCAGTGTCCAAATGGAGCCGCGAAATGCTCTTCCAGGTGGCGGAAGAGGTGGGGCCACAGGAGGCGTCGATGGAGGAGGTGCCGCTGGTGGTTCGCAAAGAGCAGCCGCAGGGAGGCATCGTCGAATGGTGAGTGCTTTTCCGGAAGTTGAGTGGAAAAATCCCTGAATATTCATCTCCTTTCAGCAATTTCAAAACAACTCCACGGATGACGATGGCCTCCTGCAGGACATCATTGATCACGATGACGAGGCGGAGGACAGCGACGATGATGACGATAGCGAGATGCAGATGCCACAAGGCATGAGCATGGGCGTGGGGATGACGGGTCTGGTGCCGGGACCACGAACCCAAAAGCGACCAGATAGCACTCGCAACTCCAAGCAGTCGCAGGATGATCCTATGAGCTCTGGCAGCGATGAGGCAACCGGCGGTGGAATAGGATCTGGAGGCGCAAGGGGAGGAGCAGGAGGAACCCGGTTGCCTCACCAAAAGTTAACTCTACCCATGAGGAGCAGTGCCGGTAGATCGGAGCGTCAGGAGGTGCAGAACTTTAGCATCAGTCCGGATAAGTGGGAGGATCTACCGCTGCCCGGGGAACTCAAGGATCTATTTCCCTATATCCTGAAGTACACACCACAAACTATTGATACTCCATTCCACCTGCAACCCTTTATCCCTGAATTTGTTCCCGCCGTGGGCGATGTGGATGCTCTGCTCAAGGTCCAGGCTCCTCCACTCCTGCAGCCGCAGCGTCAAAGGGAACTCGATGAGCACCTGGAGAGATTGGGCTTGTGGCTACTGGACGAACCATCGGGAACGCAGTCGGAGCCATCTCTACTGAATATGAAACTCAGATCGGTGCTAAGTGGCAGTATGGGGCGTAATCCTCGACACGCCTCCTCGGCATCCCTGATTCCCACAGCCCGATCGGCCAAGGATATCGATAAATGGATCACCGAGGTGGAACAGGTGCACATGACCCAAGCAATGTACGATGCTCAGCCCCGAAAGGATATCGATGCCCTCTTGGAGGATTGGCCTAGATCCTATGGCGATGAGGAGACAAAGAATGCCTTGGATCAGGCCTACAGATCCTGCCTGCAGCAGAACATATCCTTGGTGGATTATGTTCGAGTGCTGTGCGAGAGATTTGGGGTGGAAGGACCTCTGGAATCGCAAGCCGACTATATACACAATGTTCAGACACTTTTTGCTCTCTACTTGGCTGCGAGTCAGGCTTGGGAATAGGATATTGTACCAAGACTAAATTATATATAAATGTTTACCAAATATGAAGTATATGAATATTCAGAATTATTTAAGAAGTTTGATATAACAATAAAAATAAAACTCTTTGAAAAATATCCTGAAATATTCTTCAGTGCAGGTGCTATACCTGAGCCCACTAATAACGCTAATGGCTTCGATTAAGTGACAGCCAGACGGCGTTTGTTTGGTCCTTTCCCTCCCTCTTCCTCGACTGCCTTTGCTCCTTTTCCTTATCCACCTCTGTTTTCCAGGACCACGGCACTAAATCGCTCGGAAAACGGTCAACCTGGAAAAGCCATAACCTTGTTTGATTTGGCGACGTGGGGTGGCAAAATGATTTGGGGAGGCATACTTTAGGTGAGTGCAGGTGGAAAAAGTACCTCTGCAGGCAAGACAAAAGTCCTTGTTATTGAGAAAATGAGTAGGCAATCAAACACTTAGCAGCATCACATCTGTAAATGTCATAATCAGTAACTAGGACCGTTCAATTTGTCAAACTGAGTCAAGTGAGCTGTTCAACAACTATATGTGTACTTGGAGAAAAGAAATCTATACTTATAAGTACAAAATAATAATTGTAATAGTAATTTTATAACTAAAGTAGTAATGGTTATTGCTTTCATATTTTAAACATTTTTTTAGAGAATGGAAACCTCTTGCTGCACAGCATCCGTTTCTATTATCTCTTGACTTTTCACTGGTTATATCCTTGTACTATAATTTCACTCAAAAGCTTGAAACCTAGTTAGGGAAGCATTTCCGACCCTATAATTCATATATATTCTTAATCAACTATATTTCCTTCCTATCTTGTTACATAAAATACTAGTGACTGTTCTTTATGACCCATAAATACTTAAAGCTTCCAACCCCCATTTTAACTGAAAACTGTGCAAAATTCTTAAACCATAATTCAGACATGTATTTCAAGTAGTGTGTTTCTGTATCTTTTTAATCTGCCGCTGGCGAAAAAATTAAATTTATTTCACCATATTTTCCATCATCTCAGTTATTTTCCCTACTTGCCCCAGGACAGTCGCGAATGAAATGAAAACCAACTCGAGGGCAGCAGACAAATAAGTTTAAATGAAAGAGCTTGGAGAAAATAATATAATTTAAGAATTGTAAAAATGAAGACCTAGGAAAATTGAAATAAAGATTGAGAATTTTCCAGAACTACTGATTAATTTGGGGTTTTTTTAAATACCACAACTTAACCCACGATAATGAAGCGTTTGCCAATCCCATAAACCAATCATGCACATCATCGAACAGCCACAGAAGCAACAGAACTGTTCGGAGAAGGACCAAACTGGCGGCGATGCCTAATTAGGCCCGGTTAAGACAACACATTGAGCGGGCCGAGAGGCCAAGTTAAAAGGGGTGCAAGGGCCGAAACTGGCGGCAACGGCCTTAATTATGCGTAAGCCGTAAAGAGCCCATTAATGTCATTTTCGGTGCATTCGACATCGGTTTCTGGTCACAGGACATAGGACACAGGACACAGGGTCTTCGGGAGGACGCATGTTTGATAATCCGACAATTTCGAGCTTCACAAATCCTGCGGATTCTGTTTGTGAAGGGCAGACAGGTAGTACTTCCATATTTTTGGGTTATTGAATTGTGTTTGTCTTTAAACTGACTTAATACTTTGTTTTAGTAAGAATTTTTAATATGATTTTCATTAAGTTGCTTTAAAAGATGTATTTAAATTATTAGTTGAGTAAATTACATATTTGACCTACTAGATGGCGCTGTCTACAGCGCTCCTATCGCTTTTTCTAGGTATTAGAGTTTTCCAAGCACTATAAGGCATAATCAATGAGAAGAATCGTAGGAGGAATTTTAAATTATTAAATCTTCTAAAAGTTGTAACTAAAAGTATATACCAATATTCTTATTCTTTAAAAATACAACAACTGTCAACACTATTGTATTTTTGAATCTTTTTAAATCTCTTCTACAGTCAGTATTTTAAACGCGCAAAGTGCGGCCAGCCTGCACATTTAAAATTCAAATAAACGGATCTAAATATTTTTAAATGTGTCTAAACATACAAGGATTGTATTTATGAAGTGATAAATTTATAAAAGACAGGTATACATTTAAAGAAACATTAAAAATGGTATACACGACCTAGCTGTTATCATAATCTTAATCAAAGATTCTTAATCTCCTGTGTTTGCACAGAAATAAGTATCTTAATGTAGGGGCACACACTTCGTTCAGTCCGAAATCTTCTTTGTTCTAAAAATGTTATCAATGTGTGCATATGTGCGCAATTACGAGAAGATATACATATGCACATCCATATCCATGAGATACATATGTATCTCAAGCGTGCCGTACATGTGCTCAAGAACTCTGAAGATTCATTCGTGTTTATTTCTCTCACTGAAAGGTTCAGCCTCACGTCCCGGCTCCCGTAATTTACTAAATCACTATTTTATTTTGATTTGGAATACTTTGGATACCTAATTATTTAGCAGCAAAGATATGATAAGTAAATTCTGTTGGATTTTGTGTACAATATTAATAGCTGGCCAACATGTCTCGATGGTGGCATCGTCTGGTAAGTATTATATATATATTTGGATGAGAATTTGTGTGCTCAAGGGATTACATATAGATTTCATTCTTATCTACACATTCTCTCTGTGAACATATCCTCTAAAGTTCTATCGGAAAATTTGATAACAATTGGAAGTTTTGAACTGAAAGTTTATGTGATCATCTCCTAATATTCGAGGCACTTATAAATTATCTAAAACCTTGTCACACAAGGCTACCTATTATCTATTTATTTCTACAGAAAATCAAGGCTATAAGTAGTTCGTTGATTTATATCTTCAGTTGGCGGAATGCAAACTTAAAAAGAAAGGAAGCTAACTTCCGGATGCCGAAGTTTATATACCCTTGAATTTAGCTCAGATAGTCTAAAATTTAATATATCATATTTGAGTCAAAAATGCTTTAATTTTAATTCGGAAAGCTGTCCTATGTTAGTTTTTGTTAGATTAATAAATTTTTAAAATTGAATTTTTTCAAATTTTTTAAATTTTAGGATGTAAACCCTTATATTTTTTTAAAAAAAATTTAAAATGCTAGAAAGATTCGTCTATTGATGCTGATCAAAAATATATATGATTTACGGTCGGAAATACGTCATAGCATAACAAGCTTCTGACAAAAAATAATACCCTGCAAGTTTATTTAAATATAAATAAACAGTGTTTAATATTTATCGCGACCTTGGGAAAGTTAATCAATTTTAAAACACTTTAGGAATATCGAAGCTTATTTATATACATATTTATAGATATATTTATATTTCTTTTTCCTAGGCGACATTTCGGAATATATTAGAAAATGCTGCATAAGTGGACTTCGCAATGCCCGCACCTCGGCCTCTTGTGCCAGCATGGATATGGCTCCGACGATAATCCCCAACTCTGGCTGGGATTGTGCCACTCCACCTTCGAGGTGTGCTGCTCCCGGGAATTGGATCATCAGAATTGTGAGCTTGGTCGATTGGCCGCCTTGGATGGAACTCGCTGTGACGGCGGAGGGAATGTTACATCCCACAGTGCCTATGCCACATGCTGTCGATCTTGTCAAATTGGATTGGCCGTCAAGGCGAGCAAAGTGAACTGCAAGGATCCTTTATTCTCCTTTATATCCGCCATCGAATCATACCGAGACTGCTGCTACGAAGATGGTTCTCCCTCAGGCGGTTCGGAATCTAGTTCAATAAAAACCAATGACTCCTCAACAGTGGACCTGGATCTTGATGATAATGAAAACAAGGTAATTCCTGAATCAGAATCGGAAGCGGACCCAGACGAGGAGGGTACAATTGTCCTAACTGGCGACGGTAAGTGGAAACTCCTTGTAACTAAATTACAATTACTTTAAAATATTATATTTATAGATGACATTTGTGGCAAAATTCCCAATCTGTGTGCTCACATCTGCGAGAATACCTTTGATGCCTATCAGTGCAAGTGTCACGAGGGTTTAAGCTGGATTCTAACAATGTCACCTGTTCAGCTTTACCTGCTGCGGAGGCCAACAACAAAGTGTGTCCCAGTGGCTATGATCTAGACGAGCTCGAAAGCAAATGCATTGACATTGACGAGTGCAAGGAGTTATCTCACGATTGCAAAATATCTCAATATTGTCACAATACAATCGGTGGATATCACTGTTTAAATGTGAAAGCAAAGGAATGTCCAGTGGGACAACATTATGATGGTGAATTGGATGAGTGTAAAGGTAAGAGTTGTAAATAGAATATTCGATTGTATTTTAATTAATTTACTTTTAATTTAATTTCAGAGTCAAAAACTACTTACTCTACGGAAACCAGAAAACAACCATCTTGTGACGATGGATTTAATCTCAAGGAGGAAGCTGTACGGATATAGACGAGTGCGCCAATAATGCTACGAATAATTGCAATAACAATCCCCATCAGGAGTGCAGGAACACCCTGGGAAGCTACATCTGCCACTGCAAGATGGGATTCAATCTGGATGCCACATCCAATGAGTGTGTGGGTAAGGGTCTTAGTTAATCTAACTTAGTCCCTTGGATTTTGTTCCTAAATTGTACATCTTATATGTGTAGACATTAATGAATGCTCGATTAACAACCACAACTGCCTGCCAACGCAGAGGTGTGACAACACGATTGGATCATATATATGCACGGTATTTCTTTGATAACATTATACCAAATTGTTCATATTTCTTTTATTCAGGAATGTTTACCTATGTATATATAATAGCGCCTTCAAAGTTGCGGCACTGGCTACACGTTAAATGCGGAGACTGGGAACTGTGATGGTGAGAATATCATTTATATCATTATATATATGGATTTATATTGTTTAGAATTTAGTATAGTAGAATTTAATAATATTTTCTTGGTTCTTTTTAGATGACGATGAGTGTGCTTTGAAAACACACAATTGCCCATATAACTATGACTGCTACAACACCAAAGGATCTTTCCGGTGTTACAGGAAAACCACTACGACACGTTATACCACTACAACAACATCTACAACTACTACAACAACAGCGAAGCCTTTCTCTTGGGAAACAAGATATCGTGCTCCCAACTATGACACCTCATCGAGATCGCAATTGGATTGCTCTCCTGGATTTTACCGGGACAGTTATGGCGCATGTGTCGGTGAATATTGGATGCATATATAAAATATATTAGAAATCAAAAATATTAATTCAATTTTAGATATAAATGAGTGCCTGAGAAGCAATCCGTGTGGCAGTCATCAGCGTTGCATCAACACCAACGGACACTTTCGCTGCGAGAGCCTGCTCCAGTGTTCTCCAGGATACAAATCCACAGCGGAGGGAACGTCCTGTGTTGGTAAATACCAATCAAAATACTGAATTCGTATCCTATTAGCTACTTTAGAATGAGTAATAATTAATTCTCCATTAAATAGATATCGATGAGTGTGCCACTGGCGAGCACAATTGCGGCGAAAGGCAAATCTGTCGGAATCGAAACGGTGGCTATGTCTGTGCCTGTCCTACGGGTCATGAACTCAAGCGTCTCTCTGCTGGCAGCAACACCTGTGTGGACATCAACGAGTGTGCCCTGGACCAGCGGGTTTGTCCTTCGAACGCCCAGTGCTTTAATACCATTGGATCCTTCTATTGCGAGTGCAAATCGGGCTTCCAGAAGAGACCGGACGATGATAATAACACACAATGCTTTGATATAGACGAGTGTCAAGTCCTCACGGGTCTGTGTCAGCAGAAGTGCATCAACTTCTGGGGTGGCTACAGGTGTACCTGCAACTCAGGATACCAATTGGGAAATGATAATCGCACGTGCAACGATATCAACGAGTGTGAAGTTCACAAGGACTACAAGCTGTGCATGGGGTAATGTGTTGGATCACAGCTTAATGAAGAAATTTTGTATTCAATTATTCTAAATTCCTGCAGAACCTGCATCAATACTCCTGGATCCTATCAATGCTCATGTCCAAGGGGCTATACACTATCGGCAGATGGAAGCACATGCCGTGACATCGATGAGTGCACCACCGAGACTGGTAGTCATGTTTGCACTGGTCGGGTGAGTGTTTCAATATACCCTTGCAGGGTATTATAATTTCAATTAAACCCTAAAAACTATAAACTACATATACATATATATTTTTAATCAGCCTAGTCGATGTAGCTATGTCCGATAAAAATATAATATTTTCCAACATTTTTAAAAATTTTTAAGGTGTTGCATGTCATAATTGTCAAAATTTGAAAAAAAAAATTTAATTTTTTAATCTTCAAAACTCCATATGCAGATTTGATAATATAAAAAAAAAAAAAAACAAGAAAAAAAGCTACCCTTGCAGACTGCAATTCGATCACTAGGAATTAATACAATATAAATTAATTTATTTATGACAAAAAGAAACATTTTTATAAACCAAAGTAATGGGATTTATGGCAATATGTAAAGGAATTAATTAAAAAGTAAATGCATAGCTTGAGCTAGCATCTTTATACATATGTATACGATATAATTGTCATGATTAAGACTTACCCCAGTAGAGGACACGTGGCTTTTCGTTATCGTTATTGTTTACATCCTTCCTGGGCAGACTTATACTGTTGGTGACTTTAAGTAGTGTAATCAGGGTGGTATCGAACATCTCTTCCTAGTTATCCAGTTGTATTCCAATGGCCAGATGATATTTCAGGCGTCGAAGGTAATCATCATATCACTGCACACAATCACTAACGATGTTAACACTAGGTAGGCCGCGCACATACTAAGGTCGCGGCGAACGAAGCGCCTCTATTTATACTTCCCAGTCAAGAGAACAGAGCAATGAGAGCGAGAGAGTAACAGCTATCTCTTGAGATAGGCGAGCGACATAACTCTGTTAACTCCAGAGATGCACTGTGGGAGTTAACATAGATAGAGAGTAACAGCTATCTCTTGAGATAGGCGAGCAACATAGCTCTGTTAACTCCAGAGATGCACAGTGGGAGTTAGACATAGACAGAGAGAGTAACAGAGAGCTGGACAGCGAGAAAGGGAAAAGGCTGTTAATGCTCAAATGTTGCAAACTTTTAACTAAATTTATAATAAATAATGTAAAAATTATAAATTAACATTATCTAATGTATTACTTTCTCTTGTTTTATTTTATAAAGAATGACATCTGCACCAACACCCGAGGCAGCTACAAGTGTACAACAATTAATTGTCCCCAGGGATATACTGTTGACCAGGAACAGAAAAAGTAACTTAGTTAATTAATTAAATAAAAAAGCATAATATTATTATTTTTCTACTTTTAGTCGGTGCCGGCAAAATAGTAACTTTTGCGATGGAGAAGACTGCTACACGAAGCCCTCGGCTTACACATACAATTTCATAACCTTTGTCTCCAAGCTGATGATCCCACCCGAGGGGCGGCCCATTTTTACCCTCAGAGGCCCATTGTGGTATGATAACATCGATTTTGATCTTAAAATTGTTCGTATCCAAACAACCAACAATATTCAGAAGGCAACTGATGCGAACTTTGAGTAAGCATTAATTATAAATTATTAAAAAACATCAATACAACTAATTTTTTAACACTTTTAGCACTTTAAAGAACAACAATCAGGTAAATGTTCTGCTAAAGCAATCTCTGGAGGGGCCACAGGACATTGAGCTGGAACTGAGTATGACAGTGTTCACCAACGGCATGCCGCGCGGGAAGAGTGTTGCAAAGCTATTCCTCTTTGTTTCGCAGCACACATTTTAGTACCTGAGCGACACATTATTTTCGTACATCATCTTTGTATTTAGAAGCATTAATAAATACAGAGACGTTAAAAAATTTGCAAAGATTTAATTACTGCATTTAATGATTTAACAAAGTTTGCAACAGCAAAAACTACTTCCCGAATACATAAACAAGCATAAACATAAAGTACGTAAAACGTTTAAAAAAAATCATTCCGCAGTGCCAGCGCTCCTGCGTCTTTTTCGTGTACCTCTTGTATCTGTAAACGTGTAAAACTGTTCTGTACACGTCTACAATGTGACAGTTTTACATTAATATAATTATAGTATTTTTAATTTTAATACTATTTTTTTGACAAAACATTTAAAGAGAATGTTAAGTTGGTAACACTGATCTTGCCATCGTTTGTTTATTTGGATTATAATTATAAAATAAGCCGACAAAATGGATTGCAGATACTGTGAGTTGGTTGTGGAGGACGACAACTACCTTGAGTGCCTAGAGTGCCATCGCCTGGTCCACATCAAGTGCTTGCCACATGCAAGCACGCCGGGCGACCTGCTAGGCGACGTCTTCTTCGAGTTCACGTGCGTGAAATGTGTCGAGGAGCAACTGCAGGGTGGCCCTGTGCCCCCCTCCCCTTCCGTCATCAAAGAGCGGTTGGTCGCCAGAGGATCCCTGGCTGCTGGTGATCACGCTAACGCTGTACAATCTGTCCATCAAGCAGAAGGGACTGGGCCACCATGGCTTCTTCCACTGGCGCACGCACATAATCAGTTTCGTCGACAAGAACTGGAACTACATCTTTGGAGCGCACGTGTAAGTGGCAATAGAATCTGCACTATAATTTTGATTAATATATGTATGTAAACCACCTTTAGGCGCCGTCGTAAGCAGTGGTATGGCTCCGTATCCGGCGCTCTCTCGCATAACAGCCCGGAGTACTTTCAGTCCGGTTTGGATGTGTTCCAGGAAAACGGCTGGTGGAAGTTGGCCAAGCCCTTCCAAACGCCGCGCAGTGTGCTCAGAGAGTGTGAGTCCACAATTGTGATGTATATTTAGTCTTTTTACATCCAGAATTCCTATTTTCCCCACCAGATGAAAAGAAGCAACTGCAGCGACTGCAACTGCGCAATGAGAAACGCCTGCCCGCTGTGGATGAGAACAGCTGCAGCAGCGAGATCTCTGTTACCGATCATACAGAAGATAAAACCAATATAGTAAAGGTGGAGCAGAGGCGAACACTCTTGGCGAGGGCTGTGCCCGCACTATGTAAGATCCCGAGGCTATTTCACACTCAATCCTGTCTTCATTAAAATCCTGTTCCTTTTGCAGTCCCTATATGGGGCGCCAGCCGAAGTTTCGAACACCTGTCTCGCCAGTAGATCAGATACCGCCTCCTATTCCCGCTGCAGCTGCAGTTCCTCAGCAAATCCCACCTCCTCAGGAAGAGGAGGAAGGAGAGCCGCATAATCAGCCCCTGAGCAGTGTTCAGGCAAGTCTGATGGACTTCCTTGCCGAGAGTTTGGGCGGCGATGACTTGAGCATGTTTAACAATCTTCCCGGCATTATGCCACCTCCGTTAATTGGAGCTGGCAAATCGGATTTCTTTATGACCGAAGCCCTACTGGAGCAGCCGCCAAGTACGGAAGGCTTTTTCGACATTGACACGAACTTCGGGATGCCCAGCCTAACGGAGGACAACCGGGGAACCAAGGATATTAAGGAAGACACCAACAAGAATCTAACAGAGGAAAGCAGCACAGAGACTGAAGACGAGACCAAGGGAGGAGATGAAAATGAGCAGATGGAGGACGAGGAGCAAGACTATAAGCCACGCATTGTGCAGGTAACAAATTTCCAGGCTCAGGAACAGAACCTCGTCGTCAAGGCTGAGCCACCAGAAGAGGAAATGGAGGATGATACCGGCGAACCTATGCAATCGGATGTCCAGGGCCTCCCGATAGAGCCTTGCAAGCCCAGTGGCTTTAAGCGGCAGCCCCGTAGAAATTGGCCCTGGCTACAGGAAGCCCAGGATTCCGATGACATTGCCTCTCCCAGCGGCAATCTGGAGCTGATGAGTGTCTACGAGGAGCAGAAGTTATACCAGCGGCTCCACAGGATATTCTCGCTGGAACAGGAATGTCAGATAACCATTCCCGCCTACGTGCGGCGCCTATACCGAAAGCTAAGCCTGCGGAAGTGGAAACGAGAGCACAATCGTCCCATATTTAACTTGGATGACCACGTCGATCCTCTGGCCAGAGCCAGGCTGAAGATGCAGGGCCATCAGCAGGCACAGATACTGGACAGGTACCAACTGCTGGCGCACTCGCGGCAGGATGCCAGGAGCTCATTTCACGCCCGCCTGGCGGGGTGCACGCAGTACGAGCTTTTCGAGTCGCCCTACTCGCAGCGGGTCCTCCATCCGTTCATCTTCCGCAGCGAAACAATGGCTCCGCCGTGGTTGAAGCTCATGTGCGAACTCCAGCATCGTGTGAATGGATCGCATCCCACGAGAGCCACCATAGACTTTTGCTTCGTGCGGCCGCAGCATATTCCAGCAGTCAATGCGTTGCTGCAGAGCTCCTTCTGGCCAAACATAGATGGTAACTTTACAGTTCACTGTATACAATATTTCCTATTAATTCTATCTTTATTCTCAGTGAGCGAGTGCCTCAGCTATCCGGACTACAGCGTGGTGGCTTTGTACCGAAAGCTGGTGATCGGATGCGGTTTCCTGGTGCCAGATGTTGGTTACAACGAGGCTTACATCTCGTTTATGGCCGTGCGTCCAAACTGGCAGCGCAGTGGCATCGCTAGCTTCATGCTATACCACCTCATCCAGACGTGCATGACCAAGGATATCACCCTGCATGTCTCCGCCAACAGCTCCGCCGTTATGTTGTATCAGAAGTTTGGCTTTAAGATGGAGGAAATCATTCTGGACTTCTACGACAAGTATTTGCCACTGGACTCGAAGCAGAGCAGAAACGCCTTCTTCTTGAGATTACAGAGATGATGGGGGAGGTCGAATAATGTCGAGGAATAAAACAATTCATCTGAAAAAGAAATTTTGTCATGCCAAGGCATTGCAGAACTTTAATAGTTATTACTTAGTTTCCTAAAAGTGTTTACCTTTCTCCAATCGGCCATTTCAGGCGAATATTTTCTCCTCGCGCCGCTTTTTGGTGACCACCGTTCCCGGCTTGTGCTGCGCCTCCGGGTGATTTGTCAACTCCGGTGGACACACCGACACCGGACTGGCCGTGACGCACTGCTTCAGGTCGTAGAACAACGCGCTGTCATCCTTGGTAACGAAGGAAATGGCGCAACCCGTCTTGCCAGCACGACCTGTACGACCGATACGATGCGTGTAGTCCTCAATGGTCTTGGCCATGTCGTAGTTGATGACCAGCGACACGTCCTTGATGTCGATACCACGACCAGCCACATCGGTGGCCACCAGGATGTCCTTGGCTCCCGATTTGAGGGCGGCAAGGGCGTACTCTCGCTGCTCCTGTCCTTTGCCACCGTGCAACGTACATGAGTTGTAACCCAACTTCTCCAGACCCTTGGCCAGCACATCGGCGCCCTTCTTTTGGTTGACGAAGATGATGATCGGCGGATCGATTTTGCGCGAAAGGATCTCCATTAGCTTCTTGCGTTTGTCGTTCTCGCCCATCATGTACACGATCTGCTCCGTTCGCTCCGTCGGCTTGCCCACGGAGCCAATGTAGACTGTAGAGGGTCGCCTGAGATACGAGCGAGCTAGTCTCTCCACCGCCGGCGGCATCGTGGCCGTAAACATCACCGTTTGGCGGTACTTCTTCTTCGTGTAAAATTCTCCATCAGTTTGCTTTCATCCTCGGCCTCCTCGGTGTCGGGCTTGAGGTTCGTCACCGGCATGTACTCAAGGATCTTCTGCACGTCGGGCTCGAAGCCCATGTCTATCATGCGATCGGCCTCGTCGAGTACGATGTACGTGCACTGGTTGAGCACCAGATAGCGGTTCTCCAGCACGTCGATGAGACGGCCAGGCGTGGCAATGACGATCTCACAGCCCAGGCGCAGGCGGAAGCCCTGCTCCTCCCTGGACAAGCCACCCACGACGACCACCGTGCGAATGCCCAGCGGCTGGCCGAATTTCGTGGTCTCCTCCTCGATCTGCTGGGCCAATTCACGGGTGGGTGCCATGATTATGGCATATGGACCCTGATCCACATCCTCGAGGCGCTCGATTTTGGGCAGCGATTGGATCCACGACAGAAGGGGTATAAGGAAAGCCAGTGTCTTACCTGAGCCAGTCTCGGCAACGCCAATGATATCCCTGTTCTGCAGTCCGATAGGAATGGCCTGGCGTTGGATGGGCGTCGGCTCCTTGTAGCCCACCTTGTCGATGATGTCGATGATTTCCTTGGGGAATCCAGACTCACTCCAGCTCCGAATGGGATTGGGAATCCGTCCGCCTTTAATGGTAATATTGTAGTCCTCGCGGAAAATGCGCCAATCACGTTCAGTCATCTCGTCGTTGTCCTTTTCGGACCAGTGACGGTCGTCCCATTTCTGCTTGTCCTCCTTGCGCTTCATTTTCTTAAGGCGCACCTTTTCCTGCTCCTTCTCCGCCTCAGTCCGCCGCTTCTCAAGCAGATCACCATAGAACTTGCTTTGTGTGCGTTTCTGCTCCTTGATGTCGATGCCGGCCACGTTGCCGCGTCCAAAGAACTGCACGTGGTGGCGCTCCTTGTAGAGATTGTTGTAGTCTATGGAGGTATCCTCACCGGCATCCCAGTCGAACACAAACTTGCGGTCGTTGAGGCGGCGCACACGTCGCTTCTTCTTGATGATGCCCAGATATCGTTCTCGAATCGCTTCCAACTCCTTTTCTTTATCCTTGTGGGTAAGATCCTCCGCCCGCTTATCATCACCGCCACCGCCTCGTTCACCGCGCTCTCCTCTGTCGCCGCCACGACCGCCTCCTCCACGCTCCCGACGATCTGGCTTGGGTGGCGGTGCCATTATGGCCGGCGGTGCTCCCGAGGCCATTGCCGTGCCCATGGAGATGCTAACCTTGCTGGCAGCGGCCATTTGCTCGCGTGCAGCCTCGTGTGCGGCTCTTACCCGCTCCACTTCTTCTTGGCGACGCTTGAGCGCTTCTTGGGCTCGCTGCTCTTTGGTGAGGAAAACGGGCTTGCTCCTGGCCTCCTCCTCTCGCTTTTTCTTATCCAAAAGTTCTTCCAGGGATAGGGGCTCCTTCTTGAGCTTGGTATCCTTGTTATCGTCAATGGGTTCATCATCCTGCACAATCAACGGTTTGGGCGGAGCGGCGTCTCCCCCATCCAGTTTCGGTTTTTTTTCGGCATTGCCTCTTTCCCTGGATCGCTCACGAACAGTATCCCGAGGCCTCTGACGCTCAGGAGACCTGCGTCGGCCGCGGTCCTCCCTAGAAATCACATTATTTTCATTCAATTTCACAATATCATGAAGAAAAACTTACCGGGAACGAGACCGCCGCTGGCGTCTGTCTTTCTCCCTATCGTACGGCCTGTCCTGCCGCTCCCTACCACGCTCTCTGTCCCGCTCCCGTTCCCGAGGGTTGCCCAAGGCCGGGCGTTCGTCCCGGTAGCGTTCCCGCGACCGCGAGCGACGTTTTTTATCATTAACCATAGTTTCTTTCCGGAATTATTTCTAGAATTGTAAACGTTTGTGCAAAACAGCTGATAGTGTGGTAGTTTTGCAAAAAATCATTACACTATCGATACTATCGATATAAAGTAACTAGATGAGACTTCAAAATCGTAGGCACAAACCAATCCAGATTACCACTGACACACTCTGAAATATTTGGCTCAATAGTGATTATTTACAGTACAAATTTATCATATTTCTGATTTGATGCACCAGGCGCACAGAAGGCAGAAGGCGATGCAAAATTCAACAAATCCTAAATGGTTGTAAACTTGGATAAGACCATTGGGTCGAGCGCACACTCAAACTGGTTCGCAAACCGATTAGTTGGATATCGATTTAGACTAGTTCCAAGCCAATGCCGGTTGAACTTGATGCGCGGGCTTTTTGAATTCGATGCTTAACTTTTTACTGAAGTAAACTCGCGCGTTTGCATAGGTATAGAATTTATTTAATTACAGGTATAACATTAACATCTATATATATTATGTATATATATATATTATGTATGTATAAGTTGCATTTCGCTATTGGGTTCGATTTTGTATTACGGGCCGAGAAATCTATAGAGAAATTCTATGAGAGATAGAAATCGGTTTTTGTTCGGTTCGGTTTCGGTTTATAAACTCTATTTAAGGATTCTGGAGTCTGGTTTCTGGTTTTTGAGGGGAATATACGAAAATGAAAACAAAAGCAAGTGTAAGAAATAAGTGTAATTTAATCGGTTTCTTCAAATTAACTTAGGAAATAACTAAAAAGTGTCTTAAAACATACAACTTATACATAAACATATATTTAACAGCGCTTTTCCTCATCTGTTGTTCAACTTTGAAAAAGTGTGTGTGTGTGTGTGTTTTGTTTACTTGCTGCTTTCTCCTCTTACTCCTACTCTCTTCCCTCTTCTCTCTTTTCTTTTTTTACTTTTCATCTGCTTTTGTGGGCGCGATCTCAGATCGAGTGATCTGTGGAGGGGATCTGCAGATCTCCCTCCCGTCGTGTCCTCCGTATAGTTAGTTGTGTTATATAATGTACAGTTGTTCTCTCTTTAGTTTAGTTTTAAAACATACAACTAAATACGCGCTAAACACTAATTAAACTGTATTTACATTTCATATACTTCTTTAGAGTCTAAATAATTTAAATATTTTACAATTGTGTGTGTTGTGTTTTGTTTTTTTTTCTTTCTCATTTAATATTTTCTTTTCGTATGTGTGTGTTTTTTTTATCATTTCTTACTACTCGACGATCCATCGATCGATCGCCGGTCGTCGTCACATAATTTACAAGGGGGGCTGTGAAAACGTACGTGTTTTGTGTGTTCTTTAAGCTTAAGGAGTGTACAGAGAGAGGGTACGGGTACTATATAGGTTATTGTATCATCATATTTAGTGTGTGTATGTTTGGGATAGTTAGAGGTGTGTTGTGTGTCAGCATAATATGGAGACATTGAGCAGCCGCCGCCTGTGGTGCCCGACATTCTACAAAGTTTCGCAAGCTTTCGCAAGGTTTGAAATCATTTAGATTTTAGTTTAGAGTGTTTTTGTGGCAGTGTTGTTGTTTCTCTTCATATATAGTTAAACAAACAAAAATAAGGAAAAACTAACAGAAAACAAGGCTTGGAAAGTTCAAAAAAGAAGAACGCAGCTCTGTTGCAGAGCGAAATGTCTCGACACGAGGCGAGACGTGTGTTTCTTTAAAATATTTGGCTTACAATATTCGATTATAATTAAATATACGCGTCTAGGATAAATGTATAATGTAATAATGCATAATGTATACGTGTTGTATGTATGTGTAATCGTAGGAAAAAGCCTCTGGGCGCATCGCTAAACCTATATAATTGTGCTTGGAACAACAGCAAGGATCTCTGATCGGATCTGGCCTCGATTCGGCTCAGTTCTTTGGGTCTATGTCAGGTCGGCAGGCGGCATTCCATAGAGCCAAGGAACCGCCGGAATCGAGGCGGAAGTAAAGATTGAGGGGGATTTTTGTGTCGCGGAAACTTTGTAGAACGTGGAGCAGCAGCTGGAGGAGCGGCGGCGGCGGCGGCAGCAACTATAACTTTCCACCGAATTAGTTGAATCAAAACTTAAACTTGGGTGTTTAGGGGACCTTGGATATTCATATTATGTATGGGATAGTAGTATGCATAGTACAGTTAAACAGTTATTATGTTGGTAGGCTTTCTTTTGTGTTGCTTCTTAACATTTTTCGTTTCAATTTGTTTTCTTTTTGTGTGTGTTTTACGTGTGTTTCCTTTTCTTTTTTTTAAATTAAGCAAAAATAAAACTTTCTTTCTTGAGATCAAACTTAACGATACTTTGCAAGCTTCTTGTTAATTATTGGTTTTTCTTCTAAATTAGGGAAAAGTTTAAATAATATTAAATTTAGACAAGTATGCTTTCAAAATGTGCGGGTAACTGAAGGTAATTCCTTTGAGTCTCTCTCTCGTGAGGAGGTTCTAGCCTTTCTTTGTTCTGCCTTCTCTCTTGCAATTATTTTATATTCAATAAAGTTTTCACGTGTGTGTCTGCTTCTTTAAGTTCTTTTAGTGTTTGCTTTGCTTTGCTTTTGTTTTAAACTTTTGCTTGTTTAATCGCTATCTTTAAAATTACTTAAAATACTAGAAGAGCGTAACTTGTTTTTCTTTCTATCGATCTTTCTGGTTTCACTTGTAGTTTCCGTGTGTAGAGTCAACATCTGGTTATAGTGTCGCATCCGGTTGGGTTTCGTATTCATCCAGTTTTGTAATCTGTGACTTACACAGTGGCAATGACTATCAGGAGGTGGGCCAATTCGGCCACACGATTCTTGAGATCGGGCGCTGCACGCTCCAGGTTCTCGTTGGCGAAATCGCAGGCCGGGAATATGTGCACCACGTAGGCCGCCTGCTCGCTTCCCGGTATCGGGATGTTCACAATGCCGGCGGCCATTTTCTGTTGCAGGTAGGTGATGAATCCGGTTTGAAGGTTCCTCGAGTGCTGCAGCACATCCGCATGATCCCTGCCGCAGGGCAAAGCCAACAGCATGCAGTGTTCCTTGTCCACCTGAAGGAGAGCCATGTTAGTAAATCCCTTAGGCTTGCCAAAGCATCTCCCAACCCTATCTATGTCTCCCTTACATACCTGCATCTTTTTGGCCACACCCTCCAGCTGTGTCTGCTCCAGTCGCATTCTCTGAGCAATCCTCAGCAGCGGCGTGTTGGTCTCCGCCAAGCTGGGTAGCGATGCTCGTGCCACATTTGGATTTCCGTGCACAAAGTGCATCTGGACGGCTGCCTGGTCGGTTTTCAAGGCCAAAAGTCCCTGCCACATCACCGGATACCGCTGGAGTAGCGTCACCAGAGAATCACCCGGCGGCGGAGCCATTGCTGGCGGTGCCTGCTGTTGGGCGGCCAGCTCCATGCCAGCGTGTAGAACAGGTGGCATTTGCTCCTGCTGTTGTTTGACTGAAAGACATAAATAGTTATTCGTTAGCTTGCTCCTCTTGGGGATAAGATTGTGATGACGACACTTACCGACAGCTGCTATCATGGACATGCGCTCCATCTCTCGCTCTTCCAGTGTCATTTCCATTGCCTGCTTGCTTCCCGGGTGCAGGACTTCGCGTCCAATAAACGGACTGCCAGCGGAGACATTGGGCATGGGTGGTGGCACCACCACGCTTATGGAGGCAGCTGGTCGATGGGCCGGCGGTGGCTCCAATTGAATGCCACCGCTCTCGTAGTATCCACCACGCGAGGCAATATCGCTGAAGTGAGCCGGTGGAATGCGGGCATTGTGCACGTAAACCTGCGCCATTTGCGGTGAGTCTGAGGGTGGTTTTAGATACAATTTAGTAGGGATTCCTAAAGGGTATTCAAAAGCTTCCTTCTTACCAGCTGCTGTGCGATCTTGTGGACTCTGCAGGCTGTGCGGCACTGCCATGGCTCGGGGTGGACCACTGCCAGGTCGTCTCAGCTCTAACGGCGGACTGCTGCTGATCATCTTGTCGTCGTACTCGCCGCTGCGCATCATGTGATGCTGGTAGATCATAAAGTCCCTGGAAGCGGCCACTCCGCGATATGTCGAGTCGTTCTAAATGGAAGAACAGGAAAATATTTCAGGATTAGTCATATTTAATTACTTCTTCTTCGATTTAATGAAAAGTCTAGAGGGAATCTCGATTGGGTTACGCTACTTGAAAGCTCCGCAAGTAAAACTTGTGCATTACCGGTGTTATGGGTGATGCCTGCTGATGGGCTGGCGGCGGACTCTGGGTTCGCCGTCCACTGACATAGGCGCCCAGGTCATGCTGCATCCACAAGTTAAGCAATGTTAAATGGTAAATATATTTAGAGTTAAGGGTTAGTAAGGGGTTTATGAATCTTATATAGCTTCAGAAGGAGAGATCAAAACATAAACCAACTAAATACTAAACCAATTTCAATAAAGAAGACACTCACCAAGCTGGCATCGAAGGGCGGCACTCCGGCCATTCCTGGCGGCAGAACCAGAGGCGATACCCTCGGCTGGCCCTGAGGACTGATGTTTGGTATAGCTGTACGCAGCACTGGAAGAAGATCAAAGTTAGCTTGGCTACAGGTTATGCTGCAATGATACAACTTACCCGCTGCAGAGTTAACCTGCTGCTGGGCTGACTTCAGCACGGCAGCGGACACGGGCGGTGGACTGCCCACACTGCCAGGCAGCATCTGTGATGCCTGCAGGCTGTGTACCACAGGATTGGGCTTGCCAGGCAGCGGTGGTGATGGTGTAAGCTGATGCTGCTGCGCTTGCAGGTGTGCCGGTGGCTTTTGCTGCAACAGCATCGCCGGATGTGTGGGCAGGATCATGCCGTGAGGAGGCATACCGCCCTTCTGCTGATTCGGTGGCTTGTACATCGCCTGTTGCTGCTGCTGCTGCTGTTGCTGCACGGATGTCGCGGCATTGGGTGGCAAGACATTGGGTGCGTAGCCAAAGGTGGGCTTGCCCATCTGCAAGTGAACCCCGGATCCGGATGAGGTGGGCGGCATCTGTTGCTGCTGTGGTTGCGGCACCACCGAAGCCTTGGAGCTCACTACGTGCAATATCTGTGGCGGCGCTGCCGCTGCCTGCTTGATCACCAGCGTTTGTTGCTGCTGCTGTGGAGTGACTGTAGCTCCTGGTCCCAGCTGCTGTCCAGGAATCCTGGGTGAGTGTGGCGAGTGAGCCGTTGGTGGTGGTGGCACATTGACCAGCAAATGCTGTTGTTGTTGTTGTTGCTGCTGTTGCATGTGACGTGCAATGATCTGCGGCTGTAAAAGCTGTTGATTGCCCACAGCATCCGTAAGCAACAAGTGGCTGCTCAGTGGCAGTGGCTGTTGATGCTGCGGATGCGCTGCTCCTGCTCCGCCCGGCTGCTTTGTGGGCGTCAACTGCTGCTGTTGTTGCTGTTGCTGCTGCTGCTGCAAATTCTTTTCCCTGTTGAGGACGTGCGCCTTCAAAGGCTGCGGCGGTCGCACATTGCTGTGCTGGGCATGCTGCAGCACGGTGGGCAGGGGATTCTGTTGCAGAATTATGGGTTGCTTTGGTGGAGCCGTCATCTGTTGTGGTGGCGGCTGCTGCTGTTGGATCACCAGGGGATTGGGGCTTCCCTTCATCAACACGCTAACTGGCTTGTTGAGCAAGGCTGCTGCTGCCGCGGCCTCAAGTTGCACGGATTTGCTCAGAGCTGTAATGGGAGCCGCAGCCGGAGGAGCAATCACTGTGGCGCTGATCTGCTGCTGCTGCTGCTGCGGAGCCTGGGGCTGTTGCTGTGGGTGATGATGATGATGTGGCTGCTGCAGATGCTGTTGGTGCTGCTGCTGTTGCTGCTGTTGGTGTTGCTGCTGTTGTTGCTGCTGTGTGGTAGGCGTCGTCTCATTGGAAGGAGCCGCTGCAGTCGCTGCCGGCAGATTTCCCTCCTTACCCTGTGGCATTCCTGCGGTGATCACTCCTGTGACAGGATCCACCAGAGCCTTGCTTACCGCATCCGCTGCTCCGCCAGTGATCTTCTGTGTGGCCGGAGCCGCTGTCTGGTGCATGGGCAGGCCGCCGCTGGGTATGGATGAGTTGTTGATGGCCTGATACGACTCAATCTCGGCCGCTGCAATTGCCTTCTTCTTTGGATGCTGCGGCATCGTAGGCTTCGCGGGAGGCATGACCGGCGCAACGGGATGGGAGACGGATACGGGAACGACAACGGGCGCTGGACTGGGATTGGCAACTGGAGCAGGAGTAGGAGGAAGAACTGGGGGCTCTACCACTTCCTTGCTGTCCAGCTGCGGCATATGGGGTTGCACTGGCGCTGACACTGGCTCAGGCGCCGGCGGCGGCAGGAGAATCGAGGTGGGAGCAGCCGGACTGGGATTGGAGGCCATCGAATCCTCCATCATCATGCTCGGAGGCGGCTCGCAAATGGTCTTCCTGTCCTTGGAGCGCCTCGGACGACCCACTGCATTGGGTGTTGCCGTAGTGTGCACTGCATCCGCTTTCTTGGCTTGAGCATTTCTGCCAGAGCGACGCGGCGGTGTTTGGGCGCCCTTTGGCAACTGCTGCTGCTGCTGCATGGCTCCTGCTCCTGTTGGTGTGTTGGTATTCCGTACCACATCCTCGATGATGTCGTCCACGGTGCTGCGATCTTCCTTCTCCTGCAGGCGTCGCGACTTGCGCGTGTTGCTGGACTCGGAGTTGTCACCGGCATTTGGATCCACCTCCTGTTGTGGCTGTGCTGGTTGCTGTTGCTGCTGCTGGGGCTGTTCCATCTCGCTGCTGTTGTTCTTGATCGACGTCTGCGTCTTGTTGATGGTGAGAATGAGACGTGGTCGTTGATCCTCGCCGGTTGGTCCAGCTGTAGCGTTAGCCTTTGCCTTGGGCTCTTCGCCGGCGTCCTCGTGGAACTCGTAGATGTCCTGATTGGAGCCAGGAACCGGAACCGGGTTCTGAGCCTGAGTCTGTGCTTGAGCTTGCGTCAGGGCCTGATTCCTGGCCTTCTTCTCGGCGGCTGTAAGCACAGGAGTGGGCGGTGTTGGAACAGGTGTTGCTACTGGAGGAGCTGCTGCTTGCTGAGGTGCAGCTGGTCCTGTGGCTGCTGCCATTTCCATGGCTTTCCGTTGCAGATCCAACTGCTGCTGCTGCAGTTGTTGTTGCTGCAAGAGCAGGTTCCTCGGCGGGCGACCCTTTCTGCCTCGTGTTACCGGGGCAGTGGCAGGCTTTCTGAGCCCTCTAGTCTGGACTCCATTGTCACCCGGCTGCAACACTAGACCCGAGTCGGCGCCTGGAACTCCAGCACCGACGGGGTTCAAGGGAATACCTCCCAGCTTCTTTGCTCCTCTCGGTTGGCGTCCGCGCTTCGCGGTGCCTCCTCTGCCTGGCGGTCTGCCTACAGTGGGCGTGGCTGGCTTAACGGGCGGCAGTTGACGGGTCTCCGTCTCGTCCTCTGTGTCGTGGTCGTTGGACGAGCTATTCACATTCACCACCGCGGGAGGTTGTGGTAGCGGCGTCTCCTGAGGAAGCTCCACGGGTTGTTGCGGATTGGTAATGGGAACTGGAACAGGGGCAACTACTGGTTGCATCTCCAACGGCCGCTTCTCATCTTTGTTGACCAGCGGGGGATCCAATTTCTTGATCACTGTGTCTATATGCACCTCCTTAGCTGACCAGTAGTCGCTATCCACCTCCTTGGAGTCCTGCTCAATGAGCTCATCCTGCTTGGGCTGCGAGATCTTGATCACATTCTCCTCCGTCAGCAGGGAAGTGGCCGCTCCCGTTTTGGGAGAGATCACAGCCGAACTGGTCGTGGGAGTTGGTGTGCGAATCACCGAGACACTCTCTGAGGTCTTGAGTTGGCCTGCCATAGCGATGGGTGATGGTGGTTCCAATGGGACAGACGGAGCTCCAGGACTCTCCTTGCTCGGCTGATTGGGCGGCGGATAGTGAATGGCATTCGCTGTGACTTGTACCGGTGGCTGCGGTGCAGCAACCTGGCTCGGTGGCGGCGCTACGATATGCTGTTGCACTATCAATTTGGATGCACTCTGGATCACATTGAGAGGAGATGGATGCGGCGAAGGCTGTTGCTGCTGCTGCTGCTGCTGGGGATGGTGTGGTGACTGCTGCAGCAGCTGCTGTGCCTGCGGATTCACTCTTGTCACGATCGCAGACTGAGGAGGACCTTGGGTAACCGGCTTGCAGGGTGGACTATGTTGCATATGTTGCTGTTGCTGCGGTGGCACTCCACGGGGATGTTGTTGTTGCTGCTGCACATGATGTTGCTGCTGCGCATACATCTGCTGTGGCGGCGGTGCCAAGTGTGTGGCTCCTCCCTGGGGCGATGGCTGTTGCTGGGGAGCATGAATCTGCTGCTGCTGCAACTTTTGGATGTGCAATTGCTGCTGTTGTGCCTGATGTTGCTGGTTCAACTGTTGCTGGGCTTGGTGTTGCTGCTGGGCCTGATGTTGCTGTTGGGCCTGGTGTTGCTGGTTCAGTTGCTGATGCGCCTGGTGCTGCTGCTGGGACAGATGTTGCTGTTGCGCCTGATGTTGTTGGCTCAGCTGATGTTGCTGCTGAGCCTGGTGGTGCTGTTGTTGCTGCTGCTGTTGTTGCAACTGGTGTGGCGACATCTGAGGCGACTGCTGTCCATGCATCTGTTGCTGCTGCTGATGCATGTGCTGTTGCTGCTGTCGTTGCATCATCTGCTGATGCATAAACTGCTGCACATGCTGTTGGTGTTGCTTCTGGGCCATCATCTGCGGCGAATGCTGCTGCTGCTGCTGCTGTGCCTGGTGATGTTGCTGCTGGGCATTCACGTGCAGAGCCTTGTGCGGCGGCAGACTGCCTAAAGGCGGCGAACTGGCCACCTGCGATTGGGTGGCCTGTTGCGGCTGCACCGTTACCACTTTGCTGATGATCGTCGGATGATGTGGCACTGCCATCGGCGGCATCTTCTGCAACGGAATGGGCATCAACTGTGGTGATGTCTGTAGCTCTATCACGGACTTGGGAGAGGCCATCTGTTGGGGCTGCTGCTGCTGGCTCCTCGGCTGGTAGCTATTGGGCTTGCTGGTGGTCGGTGAGCTATTCGTGGCCACCACTCGTGATGTGGGGCTGGCCAAGGGGCTTATGCTACCCTGCGGGCTGGTCATCAGTGCATGTTGCTGCTGTGGCATCTGTGGATTAACCACAGGACGTCCAACGGGGCTTAGTTGACCAACAACACCGCGACTTTGGACTCCACCAGCCGGACGTCCTGGTGACAGGAGCGGACTGTGCGGCGATGGGGCCCTTATGCCCACCATGTAGGCTCCCGGCTGCTGCTGTGGATGCTGGTGCGGGGACAACACCATCTGCGGCACCACAAAGTGAGGTGTTTGTTCTGGTATGGATATTGTTGGCGGCTGCATAATGAGCGACTGCGTCCGCAGTGGCGTTGTAGGTGCCTGCTGCTGCTGCTGTTGCTGCTTTGGAGTCGATGCTTGGGGCATGATATTCTGGCTACTTGGTGTAGCTGTGGGACTGCCAAAGGAAATTGAAGCTGAAGCAGAGGCGGAGGCTGTCGCGGAAGCCGTGCTGGAGTTGGAACAGTTGCTCATCACATTGGAGAGATCCAGGTTGATGACTGGCGGTGGATTTCCAGATGGATGAATATGCGGAGGCGCTGGCAATACCGTCTGCACGGGCTGCACCAGTGGCTGTTGCAGTTTGCTAATGGTGGGTGGCTCGATCTTGGCCGGAGATGAGGTGGCTGTCGGTTTCTGCTGTGGCTCCAGGGAGGGCAGCTTCGTAATCACCGACACCGTCTCCTGACCTGCTTTGGGCGTGGCCTCCACCAGAGGTTTATCCTTTGCTGGTGCTTCCCGAGCGGCTGAACTGCTGCCGCTGACAATGGACTTCTCGGGCGAAGAGGAGGAGCTCTGGGCCGTTTCGTCAATCTTCAGACTTGGTCCACTGCTATCCGCCTCGTCGGGATTCTCTTCGGTGTCCGTATCGATCTGCAGATCCCGCTCCGACTGCGGCGTGTCCGCCTTGATGTCCATCATGTCCTCGTGCCTCAGACTCTGCACCGCCTTGTTGATCTCCTCGGGATCCAGCAATGCTCCTGAAGCACTCACAGGCTCACGATCTGGCTCCGGCTCGGGTGAGGGTTCTGGTTCGGCTTCGGGCTCAGGTTCTGGCTCCAGTTCCGGCTCTTCCAGAATGCAGGCTACCGGCTCCACTGCCGCCTCGATGGCCTTGGCCGCCAGGGCGGCCTCCTCATCGGGCTCGGCAACCACGAGAGCTGGCGTCTCTACATCACTTACCGAGTTCATCTCATCCATGCCATCCAGGGAGTAGTCTGCCGTTGAGGAGGTGCCAAAGCTTTCGCCCAAAAGAGCGGAAACGGCACTCTCGGTCTCCTCCTGGGAAATTGTTACCCGCGATTTGGTCTCCTCCATCTTATCCTGAGGCTTAATCGCACTCGGTGGCGATGCAACCGGTATCTTGGGCTCATCTCCCATGTTATCCAGCAGAGATGAGGTGGAATTGAACTCTGCCGAGATGGATTGCACGGCCGATTCACTGATTCTGTCATCTAACTGACCATCAAACCCTGGTATGAAGATCTCCTTCTTCTTCTGGGCCTGACCTCCTGCAGAACTACTCGTGGGTGATGTTTCCGCTCCAGCGGTCGCACTGGCCGCCGCCGCCGCAGCTGTCGAAGACGTGGGCGTGGTGGCCAAAGCGGAGGAGGTATTCACACCCGCACCCGTGCTCACCGGCGTCTCGGCGGACTGTGTGGACAGCATGGAGGTGCTGTTAGTGATTGTTGGTGTCTTGGGTATGGGACTGATCAGGCGTGGCTTCTCGCGTGACGGTGTCGTAAGGTTGTCACTGCCCCGACTCGTGGGCGTTGTGGGTTTTGTTGGCAGCTTCGGTGTGGGCAGCAATACATCCTCATCGTCATCATCACCCAGCAGGCAAGGCAAGCTCGGTGATGGTTTGCACAGAGGCGGTGATGATGGACGTTTGGATTCCATCTGCTCTTCTGCATGCTTGCTGGCGGCCTGCACGTTGACCGTAAGCTTGCCAGGAGTGGGTGGTGCGGAGGTTGGAACACAGGGCTGGGCAGGTGGCGCCACAAGGGGTAAGGATTCGCGGCGATGTTGCTGCTTCTCCTCCTTGGAACGCTTCTTTTTCTTCTTCTTGTCCTTGCTCTTGTGCTGCTCCTGCTGCTGTTGCTCAGGCTTGTTGCTGATGCTGCTTCCCTGCTTGATCATGTCCATCGAATTGTTGTCCTCGTTGTCGGAGAATCGGAACACATCCACCATATCGGATCTGTACGTGTTGGCCGTCGATGGCGTGGCCTCCTCCTCCGGCATCAACTTGCTGTCAAAGTCGTTCATTAACTGTGCCTCCAGAGCACGGCCTGCCTCGTCCATATCCACGCTGTTGTCATCCTCAACCTTGGCATCTTGAATCTTCGAGGACTGCTGCTGCTGGTGCGCCGCCTGCTGTTGCTGCTGCTGTTCTCGCTGCGACTTCTCGCGACGCTTCTTCTCGCGCTTCTCCTTGCGATGCCGCTCCCTGTCCGCATGCGAGGACGAGCTGCTACCTCCAGTCGTCTGGCGACTTCTCTCCTGCTGCTGCTGAATCTGTGGGGGCTGTTCCTCCTCCTGCACGGGCAGTTGGTTGCTCACCTCCAGATTCTTACACGGCGTGGCAGGCTCCTGCTTGTAAGTTTGCAGAGCTGCCGAGACAATGGGACCCGTGGTGGAGACACAGGTGGCCTGTGTTGTCATGTCCTTGTTGTTCTCGCCCTGCTCATCCGTAAACTGGGACTCATCCTCATCGGAAATGATGCCAAAGATGAACTCCATCTTGTCTTCGCCCCGCTTCGACGGTGGTTGAGCTGCCAACACGGGTGCCGACGTGGGTGTGGCGGGCATGGGCGAGGCCGTTGGAAGGACGGAACCCGAGTTGTAAAGTCTGTTGGTTGAGGAGGTATCCAAACTCTTTGATTTCTTGGACTTTTTCAGCCGATGACGCTCCTCCTTGGAGAGTTTCTCTGAGCTGATCACCTCATTGGTGGCCATAGGTGGATTGGGAGTGGTAATGGTGGTCACGCTGCCAACAGTGCTGTTGGTCTCTGTGAGATTCCTCAGCTTCTCGCGCTTCTTCTCCTTTCGCTCCTTGTGCTTCCGCCTCTCGCTGGCCGAGATGTCGAGCGGCAGGGCTGCCGCAGTCTCCGTTTTGAGATCATCAAAACTATCCAACTTGGGCTTGAAGTCACCGACGGTGGAGGTGGAATGCATATCGAAGATGGAGGGCGTTGATGGAGCTGTGACCATAAGAGGTGATGTCTCCACAGTGGACGAAGACTTGAGACGCTTCTTGCTCTTCTTGTGCTTCTTTCTCGTCTCCGGCGAGTAGTCTTTGCTAAGCTTTCCCGAGTCGGAGTAGGCGTAGCCACCTGCCGAGGAGTTGTAGAAGTCTCCAAACTCCTTCTTGATCTCTCGCTCGGTTTTTAGCTTGCGCTCTTCCATCGATGAGTTGGAATCATGGCGGGACTTGAACTTTTGTTCGCTGTCCGACAGCTGCTCTTGCTTGATCTCCTGGGGAACAGGAGCCGGAGGCGGAGCTGCTACTGCCACTGCCGGCGAAGGTTCTTGCTTGATCATCAAGTCGGGAGCAGGCTGGGACTGGGACTCCGAATCGGAGGCTATGCGAGTGGAGTGCGAGTTGCGCTTTCCGAGGTGGCTGTGCTTCAGCACATTCCTTCTAATCTCATCCTCGGAGCTCTCATCGTCCCCATCGCATAATCTTCGAAGGTTCTGTTGCATCTGTCGCACAAGGTTTGCATCTGGCATTGAGCCCGCATCTTGCTGCTGTTGCTGCTGCTGCTGGTGATGCTCCTGGTCACCCTCCTGGTCTGCATCCGAGTCGGAGAAGATTCGCCGAGGCTGACGTCTCTCGTCGTCGTCATCATCATCATCACTGCTCGATAGGCCAGGATAGCGTCCGTGGAAACTGCTGCTACCACTGTTGCGATGGTGCCGATCCTCGAACTCGGTGTCCGAGTCACCGTCGTAGCTGGTGGATCGCTTCTTCTTGGCCCGTGACTGCTTCAATTGCGAGAACTTGGCCTTGATCTTCTTCTCTTCGGCCTGGCGTTGCATGTTCTTGCAGCTCCGAGCCTTGACCTTGTCGTACATCGACACATTGGGGCAATCATCGGGAATATCGAAGATCGAGTGCTTCTTGGAGGCATCGTCGGTATCGTCTGAGTCCGCTGAGCTCAGCATCATTAGCTTATTGCGCAGTGACTTCGACGACGAGTGGTGACCCTCGTCGGATCCTCTCGACGATTTCCTCTCCACACTTCGCCTGTGATGATGATGGTGGTGGGGCTTCCCGCTCGAAGTATTGGTTGCCGCCGAGCTGAGCTCACCAGCTGAACCACTTCCCGCCGCCGAGATTCTCCTGTGTGGATTATGCTGCTGCTGCTGTTGCTGCTGCGAGTGCGTTGGATGCTGCTCTTCGTCCGTGTTGGTAGACTCCGCCACCGAGTGGCGCTTCTTCTCGCGGTGGTGATGGTGATCCCGTTTGCTCTTGTGCCTGGAGGATGAGCTGCTGCCGTGATGGTGGCTACTAGAGTGCTCCCTCTCCCGCTGCTCCTTCTCCCTTTTGGGTTGCTCCTCTTCGCTGGTATTCAGGTGCTGCTTGGCCTGTGCAGCAGGATCTAGGGTCTCCATGGAGGGATTCGTTTCGAGGGAACTAACGCTGCTCTTCTGGTGGTGCTTGTCTCGGCGGTGATGCTTGGATGAGGATAATGAACTGCCTCCGCTGCCATGCGACTTGGAGTTGTGCTGTGAGCTGTTGGTCGTTTTCTCTTCCTTGGAGCTAGTGCTTTTGTGCTCCTTGGAGTCGCGACGATCGTTCAGCCTTTGATTACTGTTCGGGATTGAGGCATTCTGTGAGTTCTCCATGCGAATGCGCTTCACATAATCATCGTGATGATTCTGATGACTGGGACCTCCGCCGCCACCGCCACTGTGATTGCTATCCTGCGAACTGAGGCGTCGCTTGTGGAGGCGCACTGGCGAATTCCTGGAGGATTTGCGTGAACGATCCTTGGCGGGGTTGTCGGATGGCGTTAAAGGAGTAGCACTTGTAGGAGTTGACGGAGCAGAGGCATCCATGGCATTCTCCTTGTTGTGCTGACAGTCACCGGAGGAGGCGGTTGAGGGCGGGACGGTATTGTTGTGGGAATAGAAGCTGGTGGCCTCGGAGCTAGCATCCGATTTGCTCTTGTGGTATGAGGAGAGCTCACGCATGCGAGCCATGCGAGCCTCTTGCTCCTTCTCTCGGAGCATTTCTTTCTCCCTTTGCTCCTTCTCCCGCTGCTCCTTTTCGCGTTGCTCCTTCTCTCTTTGCTCCCTTTCCCGCTGCTCCTTTTCTCGCATTTCCTTCTCTCGCTGCTCCTTTTCACGCTGCTCTTTCTCTCGGATTTCCTTTTCCCTTTGCTCCTTCTCGCGCAGCTCTCGCTCTTCGCGTTCCTTCTCTTGTCTCTCTTCGAGTGCTTTCCGCTCACGCTCACGCTCCTTTTCTCGTTCCCGCTCTTTCTCCTCTTTGGCCTTGCGCTCTTCCCGCTCCTTCTCCTCCTGGGCAGCTTTGCAGCGCTCCTTCTCCTCCCGTTCGTGCTGCTTACGAAGCTCTTTCTCTCGCTTCTCCTTCTCCTGGCGCTCCTTCTTCTCCCGCTCTTTCTCCGCCTTCTCCGTGGACTCTTCTTGGTCGGTGGAGTCATCTTCAATGCGGGGAGTGGCCGACTTGGAGGATTGAGAGGTGGCCGAGTTCTTGCGCTTGTCGGAGGAGGACGAAGAGCTCTTGTCCGACTTGTTCTTGCTCTTCTTGTCGCCGCCATCCGAACGATTGTTGTGTTTGCCGTGGGACTTATCCTGGCTGCTGCTGCTGCTCTTCTTGGAACTGGAACTTGAGGCTTGACTGGCTGCAGCACTCTTCTTTGGCTGCTCCTCCTCTGCGGAGTTCTGCGGCTGCGTCGGTGGCTTTTGTACATGTGTGGCTGCTGATGCGGCTGCTGAGGAACTGTTACCGTTGGACGAAGATGAAGATGATGTGGTTGCAGACGCAGAGGTGGCTGCTGATGAGCTGCCGCTGCTGGGCACAGTGCCAACATTCGTGCTTCCTGGCACTGAGGCCGACTTCTGGAGCTGCACTCTGGATGGCGACTGCGGTGGCGGAGCTTCGGGCACGCTCAAACTCTTGGTCAGATTGCTGCCAGAAGAAGTTGCTGCCTGTCTGGATGACGATTGCTGCTGCTTTCCCATCTCCGGTGGAGGTGGTGGTGCTGGCTGCACGGCTGGCGGTGGGGCAGCTGTGTTGGGCAATGGCGGGTGACTGGGAAAGGGATATTGCAGACCCTTGGTAGGACCCGACGACGGTGAGGCGGATGAGGTGGTATTGCTTCCTGCACTCGCTGTCGCTGCTGCTCCCGCCGTCGTTGTTGTGGGCTTGGCCAGCTGTGCCAGGGCAGAGGCAGCTGAGGCTGCAGCCGCTCCACCCACCGAGGGTGACGGTGACGGGCTGTTGTAGGGCGACATCGAAGCCTGGGGCGAGTTCATCGGCGACAAGCTGCTCAGTCTCTGAAGCAATCCGCCCGTCTTACTGCCTGCCGTGGAGTTGACAGCCAATCCTCCACTGCTGCTGCTACTGCTGCAGTTTCCGATAATGGGTGTCGTCTTGGTGGCCGCCAGATTGGGCAATGCCGGTGAGGTGTTTCCGCTGCAAAGGCCACGCGACACACCCGATCCCAGTGATGATCCTACGAGCAGGTTGGCGGAAGTAGTCGAGCCCAAGGCAAAGTCTGAACTCGCGGGATCGTACCACTGGTTCTTCTTCAGCCGCTGAAAGTCATCGTCGAAGATACTCTTCTTGGCCAGCACTGATTTCACAATATCTGAGGGTTGCAGCTCGTCAATATCCAGGAATTTGTGACGGGAATTGCTGGTGGTGCTTGACGTTGTGCCGCTGGAACTGTTGCTGTTGCCGGACCCAGAGCCCGAGCCTGAGGAGCTCGTTTGGTGCGAGTTCAACGCACCGCTGCCTCCGCCCAGATTCATGTGCATGGACAGCTGCCAGGAGGGTGTGGAGGCGCTGGAGGGTGTGTGACCAGAGTGACCGTGCTCCCGGCTGCTGCTGCCTCCGCCTGACCACCGCTCGTAGTTCTCCTCAAAGTTGCGCAGTCGTTCGTCCAGCGAGGGACTTCCGCCGGCATTGTGACCCTGCGGCACATCCGAATCACTCGAGTTGGAGCTGAGTGAGCGCGGTCGCGCCGGACTGGCCATCAGGCCCGAGTTGGAGGATGATCCTTGCTGCTGTTGCAACGACTGCTGCTGCTGTTGTTGCTGGTGGTGATGGTGATGCTGGTGATGATGGTGCTGGTGGTGCGAGGAAGAGGAGGAGGAGGACGAACGCCAATAACGCTGGAGCGAGGGACTGGGCAGGAATGCAGATCCCGAGCCAGAGCCCACGCCTTGGCTGGCGTTTAGACTAGAGTTGCTGAGGGAGCACGCAGCGGCGGAGGAGGCAGACGCTCCCAGTCCACTCAATCCCCCGCTGGAGGAGCCTTGCTGCTGCTGCTGCTGCTGGTAACTGCTTCCATTGCCACTGCCTCGGGACTGCTGCTGCTGGAAGAAGAGCACTCCGAACTTGGGCAGGGGCAGCCACATCACCTCGCGCACTCGCTCGCGCGCCCTCTCTCGGGGAGGCGGCAGGCGGCGCGGTTCTGTGGGCAGCACTTCGGGTCGCTCATCGCACAGCGGCGTCCCAGGACGAGATCCATCCGCACTCTCGCCACCGCTGGCCTCGTGCGAGTGATGGGAATGTAGCTGGTGGCCTCTGCCCCGGGAGGCATGATGGTGGAAGTCATCCGTGGCCGTAAGACTGCCGATTCCGACCAGGCCAGATCCACTGCCAACCGAGTTACTGCCAGTAGATGACGATGTCGCCGACGTGCTGCTGCTGGGCTGCTGCATCGTGGTGGTCACACGTCTCCGCTTTGCCGCCAGTGAGGCATTCATCAGATGGTGCTGCTGATCCATGCTGCTGGCACCCACGAGACCGTGCCGAAAGGCTGACGAGCTGGAGAGCGCCGTCAGAGCTCCCACATCAATTGAGGGACGTCGGCAGCTCAGCATCATGGAGGGCGGGCCACCGGTCAGTGGTTGATGTCCAGGGAACTTCATGCCAGGCGAGCCACTCGTCGTCGTCGGCGTTGTCATCGTCTCAGAGACCCGTCGGATTTCGCTCTTGCGGTTGAGAGGATCGTGTATCACATCACAGTTGGAGGAAGCGGACAGGGAGAGGGGACTGGGCTTGCCGATAATGCCGTGCTCGCCGCCAGTAGAGGACTCTCCGCTGGCATTGGAATGATGGTGGAGATGATGGTAATCCATTTTGATGCGCTTACGCGGACTGACCACGCCCTCATCACCACTGGACGGGCATTCCTCGAGTTGTTCGGGCAAATGGAAACGTTGATTGTGCACCGAGTGCAAATCTTTGGTTGTTTTCACACATCGCCTCCGGCTAAGGGATCCCGCTCCTCCAGCCGCTGTCACATCGAGCACATCTCCACCCAAACTATTGACAGCCGGACCCAAGCGGGCTATCACTGGCGAATCGGAGCGGATCTCCTCATCCTGCGACGGATTGCCAGCACTGCTGTTGTACTCCTCGGAGTTGCGAAACCGCGCTCGAGCTCCGCCCACATCGTTGAAGTCAAAGTCGATGGTATGCCGCGCATTTCTGGCCATTCGCATCCTTTGCGCCAGAGCAGCCGGCATTGAATTGGCCGAGGATGAACCAACCACCGAGGGCAGCACCGTTGCCGAGGGCAATGCTACTCCTGAAGCTCCGCTCACAACAGCAGAGGCCAAGCTCGGAGCTGGCATCGCACTGCTGGCAGAGGTACTGCTATTGGAGGTGCTGCTACCGCCGATGTTGCTTTGGTTGGTTGTACTGCTGCTTCCACTGCTGGGTCCACCCGGTGTGTTACTCGGCGAGCAGCCATCATTGGAGTTGTTCTGATGCCGGCTAAAGGATGATGCCCGTGATCGAGACTGCGATGAGGAGGAGGACGATTCGTAGCGACCAAAGCGTGAGGACGAACCTTTTAGGGAAATCCATAGATTAGTAAATGAATAGGAATGATCTTCTGGTAAATTCTCAACTTACCCGCACTCTGTTGTTGCTGCTGCTGTTGCTGTTGCTGCTTCTCCTGCTTATCGTAGAAGGCATCCTGGCACTCCCTGGAGGCAAAATCCACTTGCAGCTTCCTGCCACGCATTATCGTGCCGCGCATATCCTTCACCGCTGCCTGGGCATTCTGCACCTGATCGTACAGTACCAAGGCCAACTGCCTGTTGCGATCGATGCTAACCTTGGTCACAGTGCCAAAACGCGTGAATTGGGATTGGAGAAATGACTCGGACACCTTCTCGCCGACGCCATCGATCCACACACAGTTGGTGGGCATGGACTTGCCGAAGCCAAGCTTGATCCGGTTGCTACCCAGATGCTCGCCGTCCATTTTACGCATTGCCTTCACCACGGAGACAATGTCCGAATACTGACAGAACGCGTAGGCGTTCAGGCCCTGCTTCTTGATGTCGATCTCGATGATCTCGCCGAAGCCCTCAAAGTGCCCTCGCAGCTCACCGGCGGTTATGTCCTTCTCCAGGTTGCCAATGAAGAGAGTACGCGTCGATTTCGGATGATACTCATCCAGCTCCGCTTCGTACGGCCGGAACTCATTGTCCTCGACATCGTAGCCCTGGTATGGCTCCACTTCAATCTTGCAGCCAAAGAAGTGCTTGTCATGCGACACCTCCAGGGCCTTCTCTACATCATCGGGCTTCTTGAAGCAGACCAGAGCGTAGCGCTCAGAGTTCTGCCCGACCACTTTGACCCACGTCACCTTGCCGTGCTTTTTGTACTCATGGAAGAGACCATCCTTGAGGGATGTGTCCGAGGAACGGGCGGGCAGATTGCGGACACGTATCGCCAGCGGCCGGTTGTCTTCGGAATGCACCACGGGATTGGCTGTCAGGCAGGAGGAGGAGCCGCTCGAGCTGCTGCTGCTGCTCGATGATGAACTGGAGCCGCAACCGCCGCCTCCGCCTGTGCTACTGCTGGCGTTGCCAGCATTGCCACTGGGATTTGAAGAGTTGCCTGTACAAAGAAGAAAATGAGAAATTAATATCATTTATGGATAGATCGGATCAGGGATATACTCACTCGTCACTGCCACAGACTGCAGGCTGCGTCCACTGCGACCCTCCGCCATCATCATCGCACAATTGCCCGTGGACTGGACGGGGCTGGACGCGTGCGAGTGGGATGAGGAGTGCGAGGAGGACGAGGAGCTGTGCGAACTGCTGTAGCTGCTCGGCGAGCGCGAGTGCGAACGACTGGAGGAGGTGGTGCTGCGTCCGTGCAGGTGGTGTCGCGTCCGAATCGGATGCGACGAGGGCATCCCATTGTCCACGGAGGCAGAGGCTGAGGCAACAGCAGCGGCAGCGGCCAATGCAGCGGCCACATTTAGAATGTCACCGCTGGCTGCTGCCCCCGTCGATCCCATCGATCCTGCTCCAGTTGCTCCAGTAGCTGCAGCAGCACCAGATGCTATCGTTGGCATCGTGGGCGTTGCCGTGTTTATTGTATTATTTAAACTATTACTACTAAAACTATTGTTTGTGATTGTACTTGTCGTCGTCAATGGAGTAGCTGCTGCTGCTGCTGCTGCACCTCCTCCTCCAGCCGCTGCTCCTCCTGGCGATTCGGAACCAGAGCGTGCTCCTGCCGCTGATCCCGATCCCACTCCCGCTCCCTTGAGTAGCTTATTGAGTTTACTGCTGTGCAGGAGCATCTTGCGCGTGGAGTCATCCGCAGCACTTCCCGCATACGCCACACTTCGATGCACGGCCGTGGTCTGCGATTGCGATTGCGCCTGGATCTGTGTCTGTCCTTGGGCGGGAGATGGGCAGGTTCCTCCTCCTCCGGCCGCTGGACTGCTGCTGCTGCTGCTGTAGTGCGGGTGTTGAGGATTCTGAAGGTGCGGATGCGGGTGCTGCTGGTGATTGTTGCTCATCATTGCAAAGCCACCGGCTGCCGAGGCGCCGGCATTGCCACTGCCACCAGGACTTTTCAATTGGGCCGTCGTCGTCGTCGTTGCAGCAGCGGCGGCTTCGTACCATGACTGTGGTGGTGCCACCCGCGCGCTCTGCTGATTCTGGTGGATATTGTGGCTGCTGCTCCGGTCGCCTAGCGCCTGCGGTGCTCCAGCTCCAACGCCCCCCGATCCAGATCCTCCAGCTCCAGCTGTGGCTGCTGTCGTCGTCGTCGTGTTGCTGCTGCTGCTGTTGCCGCTGTTGATACCGCCGCCGCCGCTATGACCGCTGGCAGAACCATTCCTGTACAGGCGATCTCTATTACGCGATCTCTCAGAGGATCCTCCTCCTGCTGCTGCCGCCGATGCGGATGCTGCTGCTGCTGCTGCTAGGGACGCGGAAGCGGATGCTGACGATGGACTCGAGTTGGCGTTGGAATTGGATGTGGACAAGGAGGCGGAGTTGCCCGTCTGGTACTGACTGACTAAGCGGCTGCTGGTGCGGTCGTAGTAGTTCCTTTCGTAGCTGTTTGTCGGTGGTTCCTCTGTAGACCTGGAATCGGAACGAAATAAATAGGTCAGTTAAGAATGCTATATAATACTATACTCTTAATTAATATATCTTTATAATATTTATTCTATAAATAATACATGTACTTGTACTTTATTCTAATACATTTTTTAACAGATAAATAAATAAATTTACACTTTTATTAATGGTTTATTATGTACTCTGTTAGTTTTTTTGCTTTAATTCCGGATTTGAGTTAAAAGAATGAAGTCATTCCACAAAAATAAGATAGTGTGTTATTATTATTATGTAATATCATTTTATCATGTAGATTGCATCACATATCATCTATTCTTTCAGATTTATATTTTTAATGTTTTTTCATTAAAATTAATATTTTTTATTTTTGGTGATATTTTCAGGGTTGCCATCACTGCAAGCGATCACCGTTATTTGGACAATTTTTGTTTTGCTTTCGTAGGGGAGTTTCAGACTTTTCTGCACCATTTTTCACTGCTTTTCCTCTATATTCGCACACACTCTATACACCAGGATACATAACCCACCTCCGCATAATATTATTTCTCGGTTTTCGCTAGGAAAATCGAAGTCGTTTTCAACTTTTCGCGATCGTTTCGACGGCGGCTTCGGTCTGTTGTTTTCACAGACCCTGAGGCGGGCACCCTATTAATTGCGCGTCTCATCAGGGATATTTAACCCGAATAAATATCTATCGTATTGCCGCCGAGTTACTTCCGATTTCGCGGTGTGCTTTACAATAAAATTTCACCCGGTTAAATAAATATAAACGGGCGCCAAATGGAAACGACGTGCTGCGACCCAATCCGTCGATTTCTTCGTCTTCTTCTTCTTATTTTCGCTGGCCTGCGTCTGTTTACGCGGCAACACACACGCACAGATAAATAAACTCACTCACACATAAACAGACCCGGGACAAACGCGCACACACACGGAAACATGGGACACAAACACAGAGGCAGAAAAAGCCGGGACCGGGAGAGCCACGTTCTTTTGCTTTTGTTGCTTTATTCAAGAAAGCCAACAACCGGTTTGGTCTTCGCGTATTAGGTATTAAATTCGTATTTCTCTTTTCGTTTTTGCACGGCTCGTTCACGTTCTTTGTCGTCGCGTTTCGCTCTTTATTTTATTCCGTCGTCTGCCCTTCTGCTTGTTTCGGCCACCGATTTCGCTTTGTGCCGATATTCGCGTGCAGCGCTGCCAGACTGTCTGGGCCTCAAGTAACGTAATGCAGACCATATGACGTATGTTGCCGCGCCATGACGTAAGCCGAGACGTATGCTGCGTAGAATGTATGGTACGTAGAATTTGTGTAGAATATTATTTTGTTTATTGTCCTTTTATTTTATTAAATTTTAGGGCATTTTCATTTATTTGTTGTTCTTATTATCCTTTTAATTTTGTATGAAAAAATGTAGTAATGTTTATGCTTCGCATTTAGTCTTATTTTGTTATGTTCGGTATGGGGCTTTTTAAATTAATTAATTATTGATGTAGAATTTAAAAATGTGTTCTTTTTAAATTAAATTTAAATAAATATAATAACCATAACCGATCTTGAAATAATGTTTACATTTTAGGAAATGTTTTCAGAATAAATAAACACACGTGTTAATATTATTAAATAATGTTTGTCCCTGAATTTTTTAAAATTCTAGTTTGTATTACTGTATTAAATCAATATAAAACCCTATAATTTTTTATTTATTTAAAAAATATATTTTTAATAAAAGTAACAGAATTTCCTGTATTTTACATACCAAACTAGCATAATTTATAAAATTTTTTAAAAATATTTAAAGTGTTCTGAGCAAGATGTAATTCCTAATAAATTTCCAGTTCGACTGTTTTCGATCGAAACTATAGTTTATCTAGTTTATACGATTTCCTTATGGGTCACAACACACACATATAAATGTTGTTTTCACCTGGTCTCCTGTGAGTGCAAGCGAGATGGATATGGGAAACGGAACCAGGTAGAAATAAGTCGAAGGTTCTACCTGAGTTCCTCGAGTTTCAGGCCCGAAAAAAAACAATACAATGCCATTAAAGACGCAGAAAGCAACCCCTGGATAAATTAACGCGCAAAAGGCTCGAGAAACAAGGGTTCAGTTGAGCTCGACATATATTTACTTATATATATAGAATATATATACATATATATATATGTATATATGTTTATATCTACAATATATTTCTATTTCGCCGTTTCCCGAGGGAAAGAAAAGCAGGCGCGACCTTTGCTAAATGTTTATGCCTTTGTGTATTTCCATTGTTGAGGCCTTCGCGTATTTTAGCTTGAATTCTGATTGAATTACGTTTTATTTATTTATATTATATTTGTAATTAAGCATATATTTAAGCTGAATAATAACAATTACTTGGAGACTAAAAAAATATATTTTGTATTATTTTGTTAACATTTTATATTGAAACAAGAAAGTTAACTTCAGAAAGAAGAAGAACCTAAGCCAAAAATGCATTAAATTCAACTCGGAAAGCTATTCTGTGCTAGTCTTTTTTACGTTAACAAATCTGCATTATAAAATTAATTATTTAAAAATTTTAATTTTTGTCGAATTTTTGACAATTTGAATGATCTTATGTTATAAAATTTCGAAAAAAAATTTACCATATTTTTTTTTCTTTCAAAGATTGCTAGATCACTTGGCTTTTAATTTTGATCAAGAATATACATATATGATTTATAGGGTCGAAAATGCCTCCATCACTGGGTTTTGAGCTTCTGACTAAAATAATAATACCCTACAAGGGTATAAAAATAGAAAACCGGGAAATTCCCCTTAATTGTCAATACTCTGAATTCCTTTGCAATCACAGTACTTAAAATAAAACCTAGCTAACATATTTATAATATTTATAAGTTCATCGGAATAGCTGTTTCGGAGAAGGTTTCCCACGAGATTGTCTTACAATTGAGGCTTACGAACGCGTTCAATGGCACAACGAAGAAATTGTAGTACAACCTCATGAGCGAGAACGAATAATTATATGTATATATTATACACACATACGATGCGTCGCGACGATCGATCCGATCCGATCCGATCGGACCGTATGGTATTTGATGTGTGCTAATCTCTGCCCTGTTGATAAGCAGCGACCTCGTCCCCTATTCCGCCCCTTTTGGGAACTGTGATCAGGGATCCGGGGAATGTCATATGGAATAGCAAATAAAGCGGCGGAAATAATACCCAGAGGGTTGTTTATCCACAGAATTATCTGGCGGATATCAAACAGTAACTGTTTCTTGGGATTAAATCTATTTTGCTTGGGAATTTTTATATTTCCTATATTTGTATGTAAAGTAATTTGATAATGTTGAAATATTTGTCTCAATAATATAAAATACCTTGTATAAAGATATGCATTTAATTTCCAAAAGAGAACTAACAGTTTTAAACGTATTCTTAAGCTTTTTGAAAAAACCTCTATACCAAGTTGGTTTAAACATATTTTAAAATCCTTCTGTCGTATTTTTACTTGAGTTTTAAAACATTTATTTAGACAATACATTTATAGCTTCGAATTCCCTACTCAAATAACATTTTCTTAAAATATATAATGCAAAACTAAAAACCTTTTGTAAGCCCAAACCACATATTTTCCATTTAAGCCCCTTTCAGGAGCAAAATGAATTTAAATTAAATTCATGTTCTGAAACCCGTACGTAATCCAAAACCTCATTGTTATCTCATAATGCCAGAAGTTCATAGACAATAGCTGTAGTAAAGGTAATGGCAATTTCTCGCCAGAGTCTGCCCCCATATAATGCCCAATTTGATGAATTGAAGCCATATCCTAGTTTAGTCTGATCCCCGCCCTTTTCCAAGGATCACAGAGCTGCTGCTGCTCCTGGTACCAAGATTTTTTAAAGCCGCATTAAGCGCTTTAAGCACAGCAGCAGCACTTAAAATATGGCCATATAGAACAACATACCATATATGTGTGTATGCTTGTGCTGTGTATATAGCCTGGATCTGGATCTGAATCGGAAGGTGGGGCATATATATATATATATATCTGTATATATATGGATGAGCTGCTGCAGTCGGCAGATCTCTGCTCAGGTCACAGCTTTCGACGGACAGAGGCAGAGGCAGCGACTGCAGCAGAGGACATGGCAGACCGAGTGGCATCTCCATCTCCTTGAAGCTCCAGCGGGTGGCACTTAAGCGCTGCACAGTGGGCACCCCTGCTATATGGAGTCATTACTTTACATTAACTTTACTTTAAAAGGATATTTTAAAAAAATTTAAAAAGACTTTTAACGGCCTTCTTTGTCTATAATAAACCATAATTAATTTCTTATCTTAAAAATCGAAGAGAAAGTTAATGGCTAAAAACATGTAAAATTTGGGAGAAGTTTGTCAATAAATTTGTCCAAATTCTTTAATTTATTGATAGAAAAACCTAGTTTTATGAACACGAAAAACAATGACTTGCAACTTTTGTAACACAACACATTTCTGATGCTTGGTAGGCAAAAGTCACTTCGTATCGGGGATGTTAGAACTAGTTGAGAATCATAAGCAGTGAGTATCAATGAACATTAAGTAACTATAATCAATAGATAACTATGATTAGTAAACAACTATGATCAGTAGGTAACTATAAGCAGTAATTAACTCTGAATAGTAAGTATCAATGACCAGTAAGTAAGTATGATTAGTAAGCCTCTATGACCAGTAAGTAACTATGACCAGAAAGTATCTATGACCAGTAGGAATGTATGATCAGTTACTAACTTTGAACACTAATAAACAATGACTTGCAACTTTTGTAACACAACACATTTCTAGGACCCGGCCGGCAGAAGTCACTTCGTTCCGAGGATGTTAGAACATGTTGAGAATCATATGATCAGATGTGCGAGATTTGTTTTGGAACAAATTTAAACTATTTGAATGAAACTATGGAGTTATTCTTTTAGATAATTTAACTAGTATATAAGTCGGAGCATGGCGAATCGGTGGACTATA